ATAGTTAAAGTTATAGCAATAATTGTATAGGCTGACTGACTGTAAAAGCTTACAGTAATGTGTAGTCTAATATAAGGTGTACAGTGAGGAGAATATACAAAATTTAGTTTTGTGGCTTTATTGAATATTATGTGTCAATGCCCTTTGAGTTTTGATACAGCTGGCATTCGAAAAGTGCAAAAAGTTTGAATTCGCCACTTTCAAAATAATACGATATCTACAGCTAAGGAGAAAGTAAACGCATAATATACATTTTAATACTAGAAATTATTTATTGATGTGTATTTGTACGTAGGTATAAATCTATCACATGCAGTGTATCGATCCAAATAATCTCTCGTTTTATGGTAGGTACTTTTTTTGGTTTGTATGTACGTACCTATTAATATTAGGATTGGTCACGTTTATTACGACTTACGAGCAATAAGAAGCATTATATTTAATTACATACCTACTGTTTTATAATCGTGCAGTTCTCTAGACCCGTCGTGAAACAACTTTTGACTTAAGCAAATATGTATACAATATAGCTGCAAGTATATATTTTATACTTATATACATAACAGCACTGCTCCGTACGAAAGATCGCGACCGGAAGGTCCGATAATAATGCAGCACACGTGGTTGTGAATAAATCATTCGACTGGGTATATTATAGTATTATAATTATTTATAATATTATAATGACTTTAGGACTGGGCAACATAAGACTCGGCAACCGGTTCACTACATTAAAGCCATCAAGTTGCAGTTTATATTATTATCATAATAATACTATTACCGTAGTGCATATTATATATTGTACAATTCGATGCGATAAATAATCCATAAAACAATATCTGTGCCTAAAAATTCTTAAATATACCTACTTAAATAATGTTTAGTAAGTATAAAAATAACTCAAACAAAATTATTCGTATAATTTAATTGCAATCCATTAATATAAAATTGAGTTCTTATATTTTTTAATGATGTCATTAAATCCCATGATGCATCATTTGTCCATCATTATATTAATGCCACACTGAATACAATAACAGAATCAGGTCAACTAGTATTTAATATCGAACAACAGCTGCAGAGAAAAACCGCGTAGAGCAAGCAAACGTTTTTGGTACTAAAAATTTACGGCTGAGTATTAAAATCCATCATGACAATGTTTTTATATAATATTGTATTATGATTTATTTTAATGTTTCTATTTTTTACGCGTTTATCCATCTAAACCATGTTGAATATTTATTTATTATTGTGCTGTTATAGGAGCAATCAAAGAAAAATACTCGGAAAGGGGGAGCTGAAGCTCCCATCAAATTTTTTTAATCAGTACTGTTTAAAAGCTTTCATTCTCAACCCTTTAACTGAAAAATGTTGAAAACATAATAAAAAGATATTTTTGTATTTTTCATTTAGGATCTAGTTGTATACTTGTATATGCATAATATATAACACGGTAAAACCATCTCTAGAAAGCAATCGAGCGAAGAAACTATAAAGACTATAGTCAGGGGACAATTTATTGAACAACGACAGCAACGTGTTACGTAGTATTATTGAATAGTTAAAAACAAAAAAAAACGTATTTTGTAATTCTTCAGTAATTACGAATTATAGTATTATTATTTTTTATAAATAAGTACATTTTTACTTTTTGAACCAGTATTATGATTTAGGTACTAAATTATAGGTAATATACAATAAAGAATATTAGAGAATTAATGAACTTAACTTCTGCATTTTTTTGAAGAGCTTAGCTTTTCAGTCTTCATTAATTGCATCTTATATACCTATTTTTGATTATTTATTTTAGTTTAAGACTTCAGTATGTCTTGCAAATAAATTAAAATAATACTTTTATCTTATAATACAAAAACTATTAAAACTCAATTAAGAATGATGCTCATAAAATATCTTATAAGTTGTGTTTATTGCGACTAAACTTTTATTCAAATCATAGTACTAAAATATTATTCGAGATGTGTTTTTAAATCATTTAAATAACATATGATACTTGATGAATTTCGTCATAATTATAACTTTAAATTCTTATAAAAAAATATTTTAACTATATATTTTTGATATTTTTTAATTAGTAAATGATTATCTTATGAAAAACTTTTAACATTTTTAAGCTTTATGATCTAACATAAAATGTTTTATCGATATTAATAGAAAAATAACTAAATAATTTTCAAATTTTCTATGTCTATAAATAATTCAAAAAGTGTCAAAATATTTTACAATACTCAGAAAATGCTAACATAAATATTTGATAAAAATTACAATTATCTAAGGTTATTCAATTTAGAGTTACACCTAAAAAAATTGATTTTTGTCGGTTATTGGTTTTGCATAAGAGTTCCCGTTTTTCCATATTTATTTTTTGTTTTTCCTGGTAATTCTCAACCCCTAAAATATCTACTGAATTCAATTTTCTACCAGAAATCAACCCTAGGATTGAAAATCGAAGCACTGTTATTGCCTCAAGAAACAATGAGAAATAAAAACAATATTCTACTATTGAAAATCAATACATTAATCACATTTAAAACCTAAATTCTTATGAAATGTTTAAAAATATTTCATAAGTATGTGAAATTTTATGTACTTTATTTATATAAGCACTATAATTATCAGATACATTATATATGTATTTTTTACTATTAAATATAATGCGTAACAGTAATAGTAATATTGAACTAATATAAATAATAGTATAAGAACTTTTAGCTATATTGAGTTCTGTAAATATTATCTGTAACGGAATAAATAGTAGGTACTCGTGCCTAGAGAAAACGTGGGAAAACAAAATCGTAAACCTAGAATTGTTTTTTTTTTTTTTTTTTTTTGTTATCACCAACGAAAATTTTGTAGGAAATTATATAGATTAACCACGAGCTGTAAAAAATTACAACAAACAATGATGCGGATTAAGTACATTCTGGGTCATTTGTACAATATATATTGTTCAATAACCATGCCGTATTTATAGTTGTTATTAGGTACTACATAAAATAATTGAGAATAAATCATTGTCTCCAAGGTCGCTATTGGACATTTTTTTCTCGGTTCATACCACAACTGGAAAATATGATAATTAATAATTTCATTGAAAACGAAATAATGGACAAAAGTCTAGCCGAGCATAATATAATATAACAATAATATCTATGACAAATAATTGGATAAAAAGTTTTATACGGTTTAGAAATAGTACACTGAAACGCTAACAAAATATGAGTTATATAATATTTTTGAAAATGTATTATTATTTAATTTTTGTAAACAGTGCTATAGTATTATTATGTCAATAATTGTTGGTGATAAAATATTTTATTCAAATATTATTAGTATACCACATATAACAAATATGGGCATTAATATCATTAACAAGTGAGGATTTAGATATAGTTATTATTTTTTTTTTTTAACTTAACCAGTTTAAGTGGCTATTATAAATTTTAATAAATAATAACTTTGCTTATTCCTTTTCATTGAAAAAATAATATTTATAGTTAAATATCCATAAACATTATAAAAATAATAAAAGTTAATTAAATACTTTTTATTTAATTACCTACACAATTTTATACATAATATTCAATAGCTTATTATAAATTACAACAATAAATACTTTTCTTAATATTTAATAATTTAGTAAAGACAAACATCTAAATATTGTATTGCCTAAACACCATAGCTATAAATAGGATGAATATTGAGCAAAATGGTTGATAGTTATTTAAGAAATTAAAAGTTACATAATTACTATATAATGCACAGGTATATATTTTAAATATATATATATTTTAATTAATAAGTTGTGTTGAATATATTTTATTTTTTTAAACTGATTTATAAGTTTGACTTAACTTTAAATTTAATAACTTAATATAATTATTTCTATTAACCTGTATAGTTTTACATTATACATGTATACCTATATATAGAACAAGGTATCTAAATAATATTTATGTTGTTTATATATAAATATAGAAATACAATGTACAAAAAAAAAAAAATTAAATAAACTAAAATATTACACGACAATACTGCAATAGAACCTTAATATTTCTTCGAAAAGTTTATACGTAATACATAATAATGATGATCATAATTTATAATTTAAACAAGTAGCTCCAGCGAACTGGAATTGATAAACTAATAAATAATTCATGAATATACGTAGAAAACGTCATGATAGCTACAACTAGTCGGCATAACGATGAGAAAAATATTAAGAGAAAAACGTATGAATGTACAAGAAGGTAATAGGTAAAAAAAATAGATAAAATACAGATACAAATAGAATATTGTGTATTACAATAACTAAAAATAAATAAACTACATCAAAATAATATAAATTTTTAAAAAACAGAAACCAGAAAACTTATTCTATAATTGTCTAACACTTCAATTAACGAACAATACATACTTTGTTAACTATCTTAGACAATTAAAAAGTAAAAGACTTATCGCGAAACGTAAAAATAATTGCTACGAAAAATGAAGTTTTATAGCTTTGATTTAACAATATTTTATGTTTGTCTATAGGTCCTAATAAAATTATAAAACAATCATTTCCCTTTGCCTAAAGTAAAAATATCGTTTATCACGTCACTGATTAAACTCAAAACTAAGAATTTTAAGTTAGCCCTCTGTGTAAAGGTCTACTAAGTATTTTATACTAAATAACGCGTATGTATAGTGCATAGTTTATACATTAATGTATGTACGTTTATCTGCATGTATGTGCGAGTAATTACTCGCATTTTCGTAATTCGTAAGAAAAATAAAATAATATTTTATGTACTTAATAATATAACCCAAAGTTCCCCACTGCGGCCGTCACTAGCAATAATCATAATACCTAATAATAATAATGCACTGCGAAGGCGGTCTCTTCCGCCGCTGCGATTTCGACCGTCCCCACCACCACCCCGTCACCTGTATGTACCTATATAAAACAATCAGACCTGGTCTTGAGGTGGTTCATTTAAAACAGCACATCATACCTGTTACATACAGATATCATTCGAAGCTGCTCCGCCCGGTCAACACCGTCGGATCCGACTTATCCATAGAAAATATATAGCTCCGCTATATAACTCGGCAACAGACACTTCAACGTCCACGTAAGTATAATTTACATGTATACTGTATTATTAAGGTTATTTTAATAATTATTGTTTATTAACATTGGTAAAATAATAATCTGTCATTTTTATTAACATTGATATCCCATATTATAATACAACTAAAGATCGTCCAGATTATGTATAACATGGTTACGTCTGTGTAACCCAATTCGGTATGTCATTCTATGCGTAAACATTCAACAATAAAATAATATTAGATATAAACACGAATTAAACTCTATCCAATAACCTAATCACTGGTATAATCATCAACCATAGGTATCCTTCTTCCGAGGGAAGTGTAAAAATAGTACTATTGTATACTCGTACATTTCAAAAGAAAAATAGATCTTACCGGCAACTTAAGAGGTAAACGTTGCTATTAATATATGATGTGTTACGCCGTGAATTGTGTTGGTAATCATTTTACAATGAATCTGCGGATTTTCGAAAGAAAAAACGCGTCCGTAGCTATACTTGCAAGTCGTTAACGTTGTTATATTTGAAATACTCGAGATTTTCGCACGATGATGTTAGTATTAACTTCTATTATTATAGGCGCGCTTTATATCTTTTTCTCAAGATGCGTTTAATACAAATGCACAACAACACTCATATCGCGTGTCAGCCGCGATTAAACCCGACCTATACAATTTTATACTATTATTATATCATTTACGATTTAGAATTTTTAATACTTTAATTTATAACATTATTACCTATCTTCTATTATAATCTCAATGATTATAAATCCATAAAACCAATATGATGTTTGCCGATAGCATACATTAATCAATTTTTAGCAGCTGATCGTAAACATTTTATTGTAAAAAATTTGTTTAGGCAAATAGAATTTTTATTATTTTGATGCTTTAATGTACCTACTATTAAGAGAGAAAAAATCGTACATATTTAATTCAGAATATTATTTGATATGAGATGTTATATTATAGCCTACTCAACACAAAGGTATTGATTACCAATAACTTTTTAAATTCAAAGATAATCTCGGATAAAATTATTAAAGCCATTCGTCCGATATAATAAAACTAATTGATTTATACACAGGTACCTTGTATTTATATTGCTATGACGCTTCTAAAAATATCTAAAAATTTATACCTGTCAGTTATATTTTACTCCCGAAAAATGATTGAATTATTAATGTTATAAACTATCAACTCATATTTTTATTATATTTACTGCATACAATTAAAAAAAAAAAAAAAAACACGGAATGTTTATTAAGTTATTTATTTAATTTTCAATTAGGCTTAAAATAATACCTATTTTTATATGAGCATTATCATATGGAATTTTTTTTAATAATTATCTAATTGATATTAATTATAACTTACCCAAGAAAAATAAAAATATAAAAATACGGATTATTATTGTACATATTATATAAATAATAATTTTCAAAACTTATCAGACGTTGTTTAGAACACTCGTATTATTATGACTACCGCGTACTTTTAAATGTTTATTTACCTATGAGATAATTACAATGGTAATTATCCAATGTTAAACAAAATGTACAAGGTTTTATTTTTATTAATTGACTTATAATAATGTATTTATTGCATAAACCTAATTGAAATAGTTAGCATTCAAAATTTAAATTACATACTGGTCGAGAATAAAGGAACATTAAAATATCATTAATCAACAGTAAACAGCAGGGCGTTTTACATATAAATAACAATAATAATTACTGAAGGTGATTACTTTTTGAAGGCGATACCTACTGATTATCATGTACTTGTTAATTGTTATTATTTAGATATATTTCATAACAATTCAGTTTCTAATCAAAATTTTCGAAATTTCATACAAATAAACGACATCTATACGACTGTAGTACCTTTAATGAAATACTCGTTTTTTTAATCTATACATAATAATGATTGCTTAATTAATTTTTTTTTCTTAACAATCTTAACATCCGTAATTCATTGAAATCATCGGAATAAGGATATGGTGTATACACGCCGTATATTTACTGTAGATATCTATTCAATAGTAATATGTATTAAGTTAAATAAAATTAACTAGGTTAATTTACTACTGGAAAGTATCCCATTTATAAGTTAAAAGAAGTCTAAATGATATATGATTCGATAATTGGATTACGACGTCAAAAATCTGTTTCTCTGCTACTGCTTATGCATCTTTCATATTATAATACGTATCTTGTTAATTGTTTTACCGCTCTTGATATCTTGCTAATGGAATAGAAAAAGCGTTTGGCGTAAGTGAAATGTTTAATCTATATCTTAAGATGACAATTAGGTAATGTAACATAAATATGGCCATAACGACGATTGCGGTTCATAATTTTATTTATTTTACATAGGTATAGGTAAATACATAATTTACAGTGATATTTGAATCTAAATTACACTTTATTTTTAATGAAAATCTTACTTCCCAACAATACATCATTTATAAACTATGAAAAATCCAGTCATAGCTTAAATCAAATGTTGTGAGTATTCTAATCAATCATTTATTTGAAGTATATTCGTGTCCTATTTGTTCCACAATAGTCCTATAATTGTTAGATATACGTACACCGGCAGAATTCATAACAATAGATAATCTACAGATAAATAAGTATAATGTAGCTATTATACGGAGGTACAACCAAATAATAGAAATAAATACTAATAGGACATAATTAGTAATTCACCTACTAACATAACACTTTTAAGGAAAACACTTTCTATTTTAATTTAAAATAAATAGCACCTTTGCTCCGGTAGAAATCTCAATAGACAACTGTCGTATGAAAATTAAAATTTATTCTTTAGACAATAGGATGAAGACGTAATGCTTTACAACAATCAAAAAAGTTTTACACTTTTACTAGTTTTCATTAGAGTCAATTCACGCAGGTATTCAAAAAAAAAATATATATATATATATATTGGCAATTAAAAGTTTATAAATTATTTTTATTACAAATTAATATATTATTTTCACTTTTATTTAATGTCATTCAACGTTCTCTTCTCTTTTTTAATGTGACCTAAATGTCATAAGCCGTGGCGAACGAAATGATAATTTTTTCGAGATTTTTGTTTCATTATGCGTTTACTATTGATGTAAAACGGTCAGAAACCTTCCGATCATCAACTACATCGCTGTATAATTTATTAACCAAGTACATAAATGGTAAAAAACCTTATAAAACCACTACCTAATCTATCTATCAATATTGACCACAAATATTTTTTTTTAATACACCGACGATGGCAATACATCACGTCATGATAAAATATCAAATGAAAATAATGAAAATAATACATACAAAAATGACCGTGAAAACTGAAAATCGAAATCGGTGGTTTCGGCCGAGTGCCGGAGACCGGACACGTGCGCTAATTACCTGTAAATAATAATACGTAACAAAGACGACGTCGCGTGCAATGATGAGTAATAATAATAATCAGCCGTTCGACTCAGTCGATGAAACAACAATGAGTATGACGAGACGATGACGTTTTCGCAATAACCACGGCACACATAGGATTTGGACCAAGGTTCAACGCACATTTTTATGTGTATAATATATCACGGTATACTAGGTACGGTTCCCGACTTCGGCTGGATTCACAGCTACAGATACAGTCCCTTGTATCGTATTCTGATTAACCATTTTAATCATAGTATCGTTCACTAATCATGATTTACCCGTAGTTGTGCCGTGCTCAACTTTTGGACACGACACGATAGACGACGTAGGCACGTAGCTGTAAATCCGGATTTATCTTTAAACTTACCACCACGTTGATAATTATTGTATTCTGTATATATATATATATTATTATTATTATACATCAAAATATCATTTGCGATTTGATATTAGAACACGCGCAAATCGTACCTACCGTAAATAAAACGATTAATGAAACCGGAAACTGTTCCGATTTTTGAGTCCGTGTTCAGAAAGAGAAACCGGACACGGTTTTCTGCGGATTTTCTAGATATCGTCATCGAAGCCGCATCTCAAGGGGCGAGAGGAACGAAATTAATAACAATGAAATCAAAATTACAAAAACCATTCGTCGCCACGGCCCGCCGGCGACGCTAACCGATCGACAGCGACCCCAAGGATTCGTCCTCGTAAACAAGTCACTCCCTGTAAACAAATCTTAATCTTGTCATAATGCAGAATTTCTCTTGGATATTTTGAAAAGTCGTCATCGTATATTTGTATAGACTAATAAAATATAAAATAATTATAAGATTATTGTATTTGCTTAAACCTTCGTTTTTTGCTCACACGTACAATGTAAGTACATGTACCTACAATACTGTCTATTATACATGCACGAGTACTACATATTTACATAATATGTTCAACAATTATTGTTGTTGTTATTATTTGTCGTAAGGGTCGTATATTATATACATATAATACTATCCATAAGATATGTTTGTTTTAGGATTTTTCCATATAGTCTAAAAAAAATGTCGATGCCAAATACCTACATTATGCAGATTTTTGAGAGAGGATTTATTTAAAAATCAATTACATTTTTGGTAGATCTATTAAAATAAGGCAGTAATATATATTACAATATATATGTACTTATGTTTATACAGCGAAGGAATATTCAGTATACTATAGGTCGATTCATTACAGCACGCTCGTCACCATCACCGACTTGACGATACAAAGTCTTTCTTTTTATTTTAGCGCATATCCATTATTGGAATCGAGAGAATCATTCTGGACAACTGTAATGTAAACCATGAAACATAATAATATAGAGCAGGCCCGGCCAAACAGATTCATCAATCTCATGAAGTATAATATTATTATACACACTTCAATCCTAATCAGTACTCACTATGCAATAAAATATATTAATACAAGTTACGATAACGATATATTTCAAAAAGGAGCAATTATTGTGATACTCTCTGATTCTCAAACACGTATTTTACCACAATATACTTCACAGGATTTTTCTGTGTTAGCTTTATATAAAATCAGAAAAACACAGTGACCCGTTTTGTATACTTATACTATAAAAAGACTACAGAACCATTTTAATCATATTATATAATATGTATGTATAAGTGTATAGCAAAAATACACTCGAAGCGGATTGAAAACAAATAAGACCCTCTCTACAGCAAACTACAATCTAAAATCGCAATCACACCTACGGGAAAAACAGAAGTACCGGCCTGATTGTCTACCTATCCATAAACGTTTATCAAGAATCATATATAAACAATGTCATACCTGTTATTACATAGTTTTTATCATTCGTTTAGCCGCATCGAAATGAATGTGAAACCAGAACGGTAGGTGTATTATACATGGTCGGGCGGAAAACGATTTTGTTCAAATCGATTTTGTAACATCGGAGATGTTAAAAACACGACAATAAACATGGTTTTTACCTACCAATACGGGAAAAAATCAATTTGTCTATAACTCGCTACAGCAGAAGGGGAGGACGATCAGTGAACCGCAGAATACGGCAACGCGAGCGAACGAGTTCGAAACAGACGATAATTTCACTAATTTAAATGTGAAACTGAAACCTTGAAGGAAGTTGCATAATACAGTTAGTCCTTGAAAGTGGACGTGATTCGATTTTATCTCCTGGAAGTGAAAGCGTTGTGCACACACGCATTAGAATATATTAAGTATATATGTGTACAGGCTCACGCACACGCTAACACATAAACCTATGTTGTATATATATATATATATATATTTATAATATTAAATCGATCTGTTTTGGTAAATCAAATAAAATGCACAATTTTAATAAGAAGAACAGATTGATTAGCGTAACCCAGGGCCAAAATGCACTATAATAATATATAAGTAATATTTTACTAATGTTGGTTCATAGTTTATTTTATTATTTATAAGTATTTGAATTATACATTTTTTATAAACCTGTGATTTACAAGATTTTATTTGGTGCTTAAGCGCCCTAGAAATGCCATAGACAATTTGCATCCAATACCACCTGCCTATGATAAATATAAAATGCAACAGCTCGTTGAAACAACGATAATTTTCGAATCAACGTTTTTGAACAGATATCAATCAAGACGATGTTGCATAAAGATTTCTACCTGATAAAAACAGATCAAATCGGGATAACCGCATTTTACGAGCTCGAGAACTCAGACGTGAATCGTGTAAATACACCCATGAAATAATAATAATATTATTATTATTATTATTATACCCATACTTGGGTATTATTGTTATAACCTTTCACCGGATTATTACGCGAATAATTGTAATAATATATAAATATTAATGATGAGAAAGTAACCATTCATTGCCGCAAAATATATTATACGTATATCAGCGCTGTGTATTCGGCGAATCGTCGGAGGACACTTGCGCGCACATATTTAATAACATATACTATCTTATATATTACATCGGTAGCCAAGTATTAAGTAAAAAAAAATATAAAATACTACGTACACGCTATACGCATTTAAATAATTAATGTGTGCTACTACCTACGCTATGATCGTTAGTCCTATAATAAGTTTTAAATTTTAACGCGATCATTCGAATTCACCAAGCACTATTTATACAGTCGGAAATGTTTTACCTGCCCAGGATAACAATGTTACTCAAAACCGAACGTGTCGTACAGGTATTGATTAAAATGAAGAATAAGCAACGACTTAACGAATAAGTAATAGCGAGAAGTGATCATTTGAGATTTATATCAATAACAAACTACCTATTGGGTATTATTACTCGTTTTAAACTTATATAGGTATTATTATTTTCAAACTATTCAGACACTCAAACTTGAACATACAAATTATATCGTAAAATGTCACCTGCAGTATAATCATTAAATTCGAGGCTGGACGTTAACTAGTTTAAATGTTAAAAGTTTTTGTTTCTCATACAACTTTTAACTTAACCAATTACTTTTTACTGCAATGTAAGCTTAACGAAATATTTTAAAGCATGACAAAGTTAAGTAAAAATGTATATTACCTAGATATATATTTCAGTTGAATAAAATATCATTGCACAGAGTTACTAAAAATTAATAATTTTAAACTATTTTTCTTGTAGTTTTACTGTAGTGAATATGTTTGGATTATCAGCTTTGGTAACATAGTTGCAAATATTTTAAAATATTTTGATATTTATTTTTAAAAGGTATAAAGACACTACTTATAATATGAAAAAAGTTAAGATAAATTTTAATAAAACTCTTATGTTAAAAAAAAGTGATAAACTTTGAATTTCTAAATTAATGCTTATTTCTTCAACAAATACTAGTCAGATAAGTTCATTTTTTTTTCTTTAAATTCATCAGCCTTATTATTTATTGATAAAATAACATTATGAACACAATATTTATAATCTGCAAAATAATAATTATTGAGTAAACGAAATCGTCTTTGTATAATTTTTGGGATCTCAACAGTCAACCTATAACCGATGATCTGGGCGGTAAGACGTTCTTACTGCCGCCATAAACGAATGACAAGAAATTACTGAAAATAAGTATACATAATGTTTATTGGAATTATTTCTCATCTAAACATTAAGTCGAAATATGTATTGTAACCTCTTCGTATTTATATTCAATTCCCATTCACGATTTTCGATTTATATTCGCAACACTCGGCTAATTGAATAACGAATTTTATGTACAGGTATATAGAACCTAAAGCTGTTCCACTAGTTACTAATTCAATTCGTGTTCACGAAATATTAGTGTCACAATTATATTTTCACTCACTAATTCAAATTAAAATGCCTACCTAAAACACGAACATCGGCTACCGCGTAGGTACATTCATCTAATATGTGTGTGCACCACGCATATATTAATAATAATTAGTGTCGTAATTCGTAAACAATTAATATTTTGATTATTATAAAATGTCAAAAATTATGTATTTTACTAATTTACTAATAATTGAAAAGGCAAAATATTTATATCATAATTAAATATATATATTCAATTTAACTATTAATTGTATTAATAGATTTTTTTATCTCTGATAATGCAATTTTAAATAAATATTCTAGAATTATTATCACAATATATTATAAAAAAAAAAGTAATAATAAATATTTATTCTTTTCAGTCCTATCGAAACAAAATGGATTACAGACTGAGCGTTTTGGCAGTTGTGTTAGGAGTGGCAGCAATTGCACTCTCAGCTGATGAAAAATCATCGACACCTGCACCGGAAGCCGAAGGAACAATCAGGATTTACCGCAGGCTAATACCGGCTGATGTCCTAAGAGGTTTGTTAAAATATTTTTAATCCATCGAATTAAATGCATTTAACCTTAATTCATAATGGATAACATTTATGGAGTATCAAGTACGCTGTTTAGAATATAGTATAATTTAGAATTTTAAGTGATTTATTTAAGATAAATTTAACAACTTCACAGCAACTATCCAAATTCACTACCTTATATGATATTAATAATTTAGCCTTGTCTTATGCATTATTATTATTATTATTATTGGTATTATTTTATCCATTTTTGTACAATCTACAATTGAACACCATGTCACCGCAATATTTTCTCCATGTTTGGTTGTCACTAAAATGTTGCTGGTTTAGTAGTAGGTACACAGTTAGATCAACGCGAAGGTTCGTTTATCCATAAAACAATACCAGCATTACGGCCTTAATCGAACAGAAAAAGTGTGACCACTTTCCATTAACAGTATTTTGATACGGGTTTAGTTATTCGCAAATCAAATTAGAAATCTCAAGAGCATTGATGTTTTTAATTGTGACTGATTATAAACACGACATATTTTATAAAATCATAAACTCACAATAAAACAAAGAAAATACAATTATAAGGACAAATTATATGATTAGTACCTATATCAGTATGTTAAGTAGATTGTAGGTAATTAATAATTATTATTATTGCTTTACTAGTAAACGTCACACTTTTCGGTTAAAAAGTACCCTTCCCTTTTTGGCTATTATAGTTTTCTTTAAAATTTACAATTAAAATAACAACATTTGTATGTTTATACATTCATAAATTTAATTTTTAATCATCAAAATTATTACATACAACTGAGTAAAAAATACACTTTCATAAGTTTTATTTTTTATAATTATACAATATTCATTTTAAAAGATAGTATGAAAATATAATGTTGTTAGAAATATTGTTAGACTTTGGAATCGAAACATAATTGTTTTCCCATCGTCTTAAATAATATTACTCATACACAATGATAATAACGTAACACATGTTACTACCTTACAGATTTTCCCGGACTATGTTTCGCGTCGACCAAATGCGCCACTGTAGAGCCAGGACACACATGGGAACTATCACCATTCTGCGGCCGTTCTACTTGCGTACAAGGCGAGGGCACCGACAGACTTTTAGAGCTGGTTGAAGACTGCGGTCCATACCCCAAGTCCAACCCCAAGTGCAAATTGTCCGAAAAGACCAACAAGACAGCTAGTTTCCCAGACTGCTGTCCTGTGTTCGAATGCGAACCCGGCGTTAAGCTCGAATATCCCGAGCTTACGGTAGTTGAGAACTCAGAATCAGCTGATGGCGGCGCTGACAGTACCACCACCACATCCACAGAAAAGCCCAAAAAATGATGATGAGGAAAATGTGAAATATCTGTTAACCCTCAACCCCTACACTCCCTCGCACTACAGTCATCATCCCCACAACATCGCCCCGCGCACTTCTCATTATTATTAATATTGCCTACCTATATTTTTTTTATTTTTTTTTTTATTTTTTTAACACGACTCACTGTATACGAAACGTTTTAAAAAAAATCTGTTGTACAATTTGTATATTTATATATATATATACATACGTGTATTTATAAAACATATACACATATTACTAGATTAAAATGTCAATAATGTTATAATTTTGATGGTACCTATATATTATAATTATACTTTTGATAAAGTTCCCTATTAATTAATTACTAGTGTATAATCGTGAAAAAAAAATCAACTAAGTTTTTAATTAATCAATTTTTTTTATTTCATTTTATCTATTATTATTGCACCTAAACTATAACACAAAAAAAAATTATAATATTAAACCTTGTATAGACGCGCATGTCTATCTGTTGGTAGATAATCATCAAAGCGCACGAAATATATATATTATATAAGATAGAATATAATTGGTGGGTTGTAACGCTTAGAACACTATTCTTCATTATTTTTCTTAGTACAATATTTAACCCATTGGAGACAAAGGTATTTGTGTTTCAGACCACAAAGCACAAAGTGTTTCATATCAGGTACTAGATGTTTTTATTTATAGTGCAAATTACAAAGCATTAAATCTAAACTTATTGGAGAGTATGTTATGACAACAAAACAAAAGTTATCAATATATATGTTTTCATATTTAACCATAGAATTAGAATTGAACAATATAATTAAAAAAAGGTGGATTTTATGAATATTCAAGCCTACTTTTGTAGAAGGATTTTTAATAAATTTATTGATACAAACATTTGTTCATTCATAATTGAAAATTATATAGTCTTTATTAATTATTATTTTAGAGTTTTAAACGTACATTAAACAGAACTTTAAAACTTAAAAAAAAAACATTCTAAGAAATAAAGATAATTTTATTCCATCTGTATAAAATAAAATAAATTATATTTACAACAAATGTACTCATTTTTGAGTAAATATTGAGATTACCCGGCAGTTAATACAGTACATGCGCCGCAAAATATCTCACAATTTCGTCAAAATTATATAACTATCTATCTCCTACATTTAATTCCTTAAAAATCTTTCTGATATACACTCTCAAGATTTTTATAATCAATACTGTCAAATAAAATGTATTTCTTCTTCAATCATTTTAAGCTAATCTGGTTATTGACGAAAATTAAACGATATTCATATTAAACATAAAAAAGAAAAACTTTATATACGTACAGTAATAATTGTATTACCATTTAATTTTATTGCGTACACAATATTTCATTCGACGATTGGTTGTAAATATAGAAACCATTTTCAGTGATTTTTCTGTAAAGATAGATATATTTATAAGCTTTTATCGTAGTTGGAGCTACATATAATTCTGCAAAATCTTCTCTCGTTTCAATATGTTGTACCGGTGATTTGAAGTTGTAAAACTGTTTAATAAAAGCTATTATAAACGAAAAACAATTGTGATCCTCTTCGTTGTATCTATTGAATAAAAAACAAATTCATCAATACCTATTGAGCCTTGGTTTATTTTTATTATGTGTTTATAATTTATTCTATAATAATAAAATTCAAAATAAAATAAAATAAATATAATGTTATTAAAAAAAAAATAATAATAATAAATCGATTAATTTTGGATATCTAGACTCTAGAGTAGTATTTTGTACTAAATTGTGTAATAAAAATGTCTTCCTTTCCGAGGTCAAGCATTAGGGAGGTCTGATTTACCTATTTACTAACAACTTAAAACATCTTTAGTTCTTATAAATAGAAGAAGTCGTACCAGTATATATTTATTCTATCTTACTAACGAATAACGGCATAACATACCAAATCAAACGTAAAGAAGAATCCATTTTACTCAGATATTTTTAATATTAGAGTAAATTTATCTATTATCAAATCTAAAGATAATATTATTCAGGACTTCTAAACTTTACAAAACATATTCAAAATTAAAATGATAATAACTTACTTCAAAATTAAAATATAAAAACCTACGAAAGGCCCTGGATAATATTCTTATAACAATCGATGGCTTATAACAAAACTATTCATGTAATAATTATTTCAAAACGTATAAAATGTTTAACGCAACTATAATGCTAATAAATAAAAAATCATGATTATGATCTTCAATATTTTTAAATAAAACTAATTCAAATATCCGATAAATGTTAGTCTTAATATAGGATAGAAAAATGTATGGAGAATCTTGTAATACATTTTCATATTTTAAATGTAAAAATAAAATTGTTTAAGAATTTTTAATTACAAAATAATTTATAAATGTTCAGGGTTTTATCAAAATTATCTTAACTTTTATAAAAAAATATTTTGGCTATGTATTTTTTGTAATTTTTAATTGATAAATTAAAAAGTAATGAGGAACTTTTGGTTAAATTTCAAATTTTTTTTACTAAAAAAAGTTAAGAAAAAAAAATTAAAAAATGTGAGTAAGTGGGTATCAATCTGTTATACAATACGTCTTGAGTGTATCACTGTAATAGATGTGGTTAAATTATGATTCAATGATAAATTATTATATACAAAAAAACCTATTCTTAGCAAATTTATAATAATTTGAACATCAAACGCCGCTCATATTAATTAATTTTATTATTTTAAATTGTATATTTCAATAAAATAACAAATTTTGTCAACTTTTGATTTTAAAACAGTCATAAAACTGTAGCTTTTGCTTAATTTAATTTCAATAAAAAGAACTTTGTAGAAATCTTTATATTAAATTGTTAAACCTACAAATTTAAATTTAAAATAAAATAAGATATTAAGTACAAAATAATATTAAGATATTATCTATTATGAAGTTGGTATTTCACTTTGTTTTTATTAACTTAAAAATAACACCATATAATAGAAAATTAGTTACAAATAATTGCTCATTAAGTTAGACTAATGGAAAATCCATTTCTTATATATTTAGCTAACTATGCCCAATTGACTTATATTTTTATATATGTATAATATTATGTTTATATTCATATCATATAGGTAGCTAGATATATATATATATCGTAGCTACTTGATGAAATTAATCTTTTCATGAAAAGATGACCATTTCATGAAATGGAAACGGATTTTTTACACTTCGTGAAATTCAAAAATATTTCACAATATGGTCACTTTTTCATTAAATGGTCACTCTAATTTAACATCGTGTAATTTTTTTCACAGTGTGGTCGTTCACTTTGTGTACTAAAAATTGAAATACAATATTTATTACACACGTAAATGTACAAGCTTTGATAAACTAAGCTATGCACTATAAATTGTATAGTAATAATTATATAAATGATAGATAGGTCGATAGATCACATTATAGTCACACTATATTTACAGAACATAAGTAAAATACATTACATAAAATTTACCTACCTATTGTACCTATACAATTTTTAATTTTTAACTAGATAGTAGATGTATGTGATATGTTTTTGTTCAATAAGTAAAAATAGTATAGTATGAAAAATACATAGTTTAAGTGAGCCATCAAGATATGTATCGTATGGTAAACTAAATTTAAAAGCAAATTCATTACTTTTGAAAGACAAAAATAAAATTAATTTTAATGAATGTGGAGGTATTTGAAATATGTACAATACAATTTTGATATTAAGACAAATTATTGTTATCATTTAGTGCATTATAGTATAAAATAAGCAACCTATCAAGCATTAACACTGATTAGAAAGAAATAAATTTGAATTTTAACAAACTTTGAAAATTGTTTAAAAATCAATGATTTAACCTAATTCAAAGTCTTAAACGCTAAAATTATTTTTAAAAATTTATTGATAAAATAAAATAATTATCTAAAAATATTTATAAAATATAGCTATAATAGATATAAATATATTATGTAATACCTATATAATAACTTCAGTTAACTTTAGATAAAAATAACTTACATTTATGTTTATCAAAGCTTGTAAATTTACGTGTATAATAAATATTGTATTTCAATTTTCAATACACAAAGTGAACGACCACATTGTGAAAAAATTACACGATGTTAAATTAGAGTGACCATTTCATGAAAAAGTGACCATATTGTGAAATATTTTCGAATTTTACGAAGTGTAAAAAATCCGTTTCCATTTCATGAAATGGTCATCTTTTCATGAAAAGATCAATTTCATTAAGTGGTTACGACATATATATGTATGTATTTGTTTTTAAAGATATAAATATATTATAACTTTTTCTTTCTTTCTTCTCTTATTAAATAAAAAAAAAAACAGATTAATTTTGTTAATAACTTCACAATAATTATAAAATTTACAATATTTAAAAAAATTTAACCAGCCAAAAATAAATTTGCAATTATTTAATGAAATTTTGAACTCGATAAGACTAAATTTAAATATGTGTATTTGGGTAACTTCATGTATAGGAAGCAAAAACTTAATTATTTTTATCATGTTATATTATTAAAATTGTAAAATTGTCAAACACTCTTTCTCCTCACTATATAATTTATTATGATAACAATTTACTGCTAATGATAATTAAATTTATTTTTAATCTAAAATCAACAAACCTAGAACTATCCCAACATTCATTTTTTACTATATCTGCTAATGTAGTATCCCAATGGGTTTCCATACAATGGTCATTTAGTTGAAACACAACTAAGCATCCTTGCCAATTTTCTGTATCCTCAATGATTCCTTCCCAATCATATGATACAACAGTACCTCTTGAAGTTGTTACTCCAATATGTAAATCATCCATTAATTGGTAGTTACTAGTAAAATTGTAAGATAGATATTTTTGTATTGTGATATGTCAAATTAAATAATAATAATTTTAAATATACTCACTTTAAAAAATCACCTCGAGTTGGCTTTACAATAACAGAGCATGATTGCTGAGATGCTCTTACAAAAGGATAAGGAACTCTTAAAAGAAAAAATTAAAATTTTTAAAATTTTAAATTTTTCTTGAAGAATTGTTTCTTATTAATACAGATTTGTACAATAGAGTGTATAATACACTTAAGATTAAACATATTAAAGTCATTTTAGTCATTTTAAATTTAAAACTTAAAACAAAGCAGTACAGTGCTATAATTAAATTTCATGAATTTAATTCTTTAATACATGGAGTATGTGAATATTTAAACCAATAATACACCAATAAAATTGTGCATAAAAAATGAAAACGCATTTCCCATACTATTTTGAATTTATCAATGAGTAATGACCATGTAAAAATTAATACTAGCTTTAGTTTTGATTCAGTAATCATTAATAATTTACTATTAAGTTGGTCTTGATATAATATGGTACTCCTTAATTTATTTTTTACTATTGTTAATTAAGAAAATACCTATTTTCCAGGAACAACTTGTAACTGGTATGTATTACACTGAATGATTTCAGTACAGTGAAAAATTCATTAAATGATTTTATGTAATTATTTGCTTTCATATAATCTAGCCAAAAATGTATTGATTTATTATTAGTATAAGTATCTGGTTGAAATTTTATTATACCCTTAAAAAGATTCCAGTCAAGCTCTGGCTCGACCGGCTTGCTCTGTGCACACGCCTATGTCAATAATTTAATATAAATAATACATGCATATTTTTTTTAGGATTATTATTATTTAGCTTAACATACCATTCTGGTAATTAAAATAGACTCATTTTAAGGATCTTGTTAAACTAACTTAATATTATATTTATAAGTTGATAAAAGCATATTGAGTGTTAGATATGGATAAAATAACACTTTGTAACAAAAAAGTTGGTCTATTATTTAAATAGATTTTAATTTATAGATTTAGATTTTATCAACATTAAAGATATTTGAATGTTAAGGAAAAAAAAAATATTTTACAGTTTACCTGATTGGAATGTTCTGTAAATTTCTTAAACATATTTTGCAAATAGGACAATTAGTTGGAATGTTTATACAATATATGTTTTTGTGATTACAATGTTGAAAGCTAATTATACCAGAATCATTATTCATGACAATAGGTTGAATCATAAAATCTGCAACAAAAAAAATTGCACTAAAAATATTTGTAAAACTCTAAAACCTATTGAAAAATTAAAAAACATTAATTTTTATAAAAATATTTTATCATTAACAGCAAAATTTAAATTTGAACTCTACTCTCAAACAAACGCTATATTTATACAGAAGTAATAAGTTGGCAATAGATTTATTTTTATATCAATTAGTACCTATTATAGTATAATATTGGCGAATTTTTAATGAATACCAACACCAATTAATATAATTTTTACTAGCATTTTTACAGAGGTTTTAATAGTGGATATGTATAATATTATAAGCTTAGTAATCAATAATACATAAAAAGTAAAAATAAATACTTAACCAATTCAGAATATATATAGAACCTTCTTAATACAAATAATTAACATGGTTATTAGTCCTTACCACATATTATTTTTACTCATTATCTATAATATTATAATTATTGTTTTTTATACTCAAATAAAAGTTGTTAAACTTAAAATAACATTTTATATAATTAACGCACATAATGACATATTATGATATATAAATTAAAACACAAAGATAATCAATTAAAATAATAATCTCACCAATTTAAGCGTTGATAAAAATCAATTAATTAATTTTAAATCAAGTTTAATACAAAAAAACCACTAACAATTTTAATATGTAGGTATAGCAATAAAAAAATTTTATTAAATCACATTTGTATAATACTAATAATTTAATAATCAAAACAAATTTGTTTCATAAGTTCATTTTAAAATACAGTGAAGAAAAATAAAGACACTAAATTATCTTAGAACAAAAAAAAAAGCAGAAACTACTTATCCAGAGGAACCAAACATATTTTTTTCCTTGAGTAAAGAAAATAATTCATATTTTAGGTTTTGATTCCTACACCTAAAGCTCTAACTGATATAAGTAAAACTTAAATGATTTTTAATGATTTAATGAAATAAAATTGTTTTATTAAATATTTTTACTTTTACCAGTTTAGAGATAATCTGATAGTGCCAACCAATTGTAATTAATATTATAGTGTACAACAATTTTTGTAAAAAATTAATAGAAGCTATAGTTACAACTAAGATTTACTTTCAATTAAAAAATTTTAAATTAAAAAATTAAAAGCTTAAATTTTGAAACTGATACACTGTTACAATGATAAGAGATATTGTGATAATTGATAACATAATAAGCAACATGTAGACTGAACTACTGAAGATAGTATTTATGATAATTGATAAGTAATATTGACTATATTGATAATTAATTTTTTAATATTGAATAATTAATAATTATACCTATAACCATTATAATTATAATTTATAACCATAATAATTATTTTAGTTATTTTTAAATGCCATTTAAGGTGTATGGACAGTAGACAATATGTGAAGAATATATATAATAAAATTGTTAAACACGTTTTATACTTCCCATTCGATAATAATATAATTATATGTTTTAACGTACCTACCTATTATGATTTGTAATGTTTAATATAAATGTCTATTTATTATCATGTAATATGTTTATTAAAAATAATATGATAAAAATACAAAATAGTATACATTATAGAAAGTATAAGCAACCACTATTACATTTGGAAAGAAATAATTTTTAAATCTATAAATATTTTTTTATACCTACAGTCTTTATAAAACAACAACGAGACCCAAATTGTTACTAGAAAGTAGAAATTTCGAAATTGAAGATCGAAACATTTTTTCTATTATAAAACATGCACACATTTAAAAATATATACACATTAATACATCATTATAAATCTAAAAAATATGTATTCATATTCAAGGTTCTTGAAAATAATAAATGTCGTATACGTTGACACTAAATTTGATAAAATGATGTATGTAGAATATGAATGTAAACAAGCGTTTAATGCTCACAAATCACAATCACATTCTTTTTAAGCAGCAAACAATGATTTAAAAATGATGAGCATTTCGGGTTCATATTTAAAAATAAATAAAAGGGGTCAAAAGTACCTACACAAAATAAGTAAGTAATCGTACAGATAGATTTAAAATAATAAGTTTTATAATCACAGTTTAAAAATATACACATTTTTAAAAATAGATAAATATTATTTTTGTATTTATTGATATTTAATTTATAAAAAATTCATTACACTGGTACCTATAACTATAATAGGTACGTTTAAAAAAATATGTATGTATACATAGATATAGTTAATGACTTGACCTCATAAATATTCTTTGGTATATGTTTACATACAATTTTCTTTATATCTCAAAAACTATCACATAATTCCGAGAAACTTGCTATAGACATCTATGTGTTCTAAGGATCCTAGTTTCCTACCTATATAATTCGTGTCCTCAATTTTCAATAAATTAAAGCTACTTGTACTTTTGATTAGTGATTATCAACTTATATAAACGAAATATTTTTTACGAGCTAGGCGCTTACACTTACTTGCGCATCTACTGCCAATTAATTACACGAACATTGTATTTATAAAAAAAATTATTTTAGGGTGAATTGACTATTAATATAATAAATATTATTTAATTAGCTAATAAACAGCTAGCTAATACAACAATCAATACAGATATTAACCACTAAGTTGTATAGGTACTTAGCTCTTTTTTTTAACAGAACACAATTGAAACACACCTAATAAATCTTATTCTTATACCCTATTATTGTGTACGGCGTATGCTTTTAGTCTTATAAGTCCAATTTAGATTTTCGACAATTTATCATAATCAACTAGTTACCAAGCTATTGACCTATAGTGGTACACATTGGTATCTAAAGGTAAATGGTATTTTATTTTTTTTGATTTTTGGAGTCAATATTTCTTATTGTCGGATTACTATGCACCGAAAAAATACCTTGAATAGGTTAAGTTAAGCTAACTATTATAGTCATATCTAATAGCTGCATGCCACTAGGTCGTTTTTATGTTTTGTTAAGATAAGGAAAAAAATACTTAAAATATTAAAAAGAGTGTAGAGTTTTGCGGATTTTTCCACTGATTTAAATGAGACGTAATGCATTTGAGCGAATAACTTTTTTACCCACATAAAAAAGCAATGTGTTTGAATAAGTTCCTTACAGTATATATATTATGAGCGAGTATGATACGTCCATATTTAACGTTCATCTACGGTAAATCTATTTAACCGCTGACCGGCTAACGAATTATCTTTTTGTATCTATGACCCTTATCAATCACGTCAATACTTACCAGAATATAAAAGATAAAAGTATAATATTTAAAAGAAATTTAATTTTAAAATAAAAGCAAACTGAATACATTTCATCAGAAAACAATTCGTTTTTAATCATGGCCGTGGACATCATCACGGACAGTCTGAAGTCTGTCAAAACGAAAGAGAAAACGGATACTGTCCAGTACGCCTAAACATTTAACGAGATATTTAAAGAAAGTCACCCAAACACATCATAATTTTTTAAAATCATTTTCTCAGATGCATTGTGCGAAATCGTCCAAACGGACCAAACGCATTACAATTTTTACAAATTCGCCCAAACCTAGGTAATCCGTCCAATTATACTCAAGTCTTATCGAACAACAAATAAGCCTCGCCAAAAATTCGACTAAATCTATATGGATAAAAACAATAGTAATATATACGTATAACACCCCCGTGTATTACATGTGTTGTGGCAATATTGTAAAATCGTATTACTATTTGTACGAGACTTTCGTCCGTAACAGCGATCGGCGATGATGATGATGATGATAGTAATATTACGACGGGAAAAAAAACGAGCCGGCGGGGAGGTTTCGGCGCGGCGATACGTGGAGAGATGTAACGCGATGGGTGGGGTGCGCGCGAAAATCACATATTTTCGTTTTTCGTCTGAGCAGCAGCAACAGCAGCGGCTAAGAAACACCGCGGACGAAGCGCCGAAAACGGTTGTTTTAGCGAGGAGGGTCGGTCCCGGACACGATCATCTCGTCGCCGGCGCGCGCGCGCGCGCTCGCTCGATCCCTTTAATCGTCGTTGAAGTGTCGGACCGCGCTGACCGTCACCCCACCGCCGAGGGCCGCGACGACACCGCGCGCACCACTTTAAGTGTGTTATTTGTATTGCTGAACGCATTACGTCTGCGCACCACTGAACGACTTGCGAGCGCGGAGTGCGTGTCGTCAGGACTCGGAAGAGTCGGAAGCTGCCGGAGGACGGGGTGGCGGGCGAGAGGGGTGAGCGGGAGCGGACGGGCGGGCGACCTTCGGCGGCGCGTGTACTGTTTTCCGTCGTTGGGTATTTTTATTATTATTGTTATTTATTTACTTTTTTTTTTTTTTATTATTTATCGTTATCGTTTTCGAAGGGAGAAAAAGGGGGAAAAAGAGATAAATACCCGAGCGCTCGTCGCGACGACGCTCCGAACTATATAACACCGCTGTGCCCGACGACGTCTCGATGATAATAAAAAAAACCAGCGGTAGCGGGCCCCTTATCTGTCCGTCTCTCTCTCGGCGTTCGATGTACATGTCGTCCGGACGTCGGTGTTATTGTTGTTATTATTATTATTATTACTATTATCAACGTCGTTACCGCTCGACGACTGCGACGACGGTATAATTGTTGTCCATGTAATTATTAATTTTCTTCTTCTCGTTGTTGTCGCTGTCACACATGCACGCGCGTACCGCGTCGCCGCCGCCGCGCGATATTCGTCTTGCTGGAGCGTCGTTCGTCCGACAGCGTTTTGCCCGGTGAACGTGCGGGCATCCAGTTCGCTGGATCCGGCGCCGTCCGTCCGACCGCATGCTCCAGGCTCCGAGGACTTCCGCTGTCGTGTTGATGTCCACCGACAACTGCAGCCCGTAAGTATGCGACAGCGTCCGCCGATCGTCTGTAATTAGAGTACTGCGGTCTCCGTACGATACGGTGCGATTATTGTATTTCGCCATGTGAGTTGTGGTCTCGACACGTCGGACAAACTAAACGTGTCGTGGAGAACATGACTATCCATTCCTGGTTAGGACCGAGTGAGTCCGAAGCAATTATTGCGATGGTTGACTAGTGTTATTACCCGACATCCCTTTTCAGTAGGTTAGTCCAGTAACAAATTATGGATATGTCAGCTTACAAAATATGTTAATTTAAAGGAATATCATGCAAATAACTTGTAATAAATATAAGATTCACCTCCATTTTTTCTTTCAATGTATTATATTTTATCTATTCAAATTTTAAGTATTAGAATTTTTAAGAGCCATATTTTCAATTACCTATTTAAATTTATAAGTGCAAAATCAACTTAATAGTAGGTATACAGTAAAACAAAAATGTTTCTCGTTTTAAAAAAAAGTAGTGGTGTTGCTACAGGATTATAGAAAACATTTTTCATGAATTATTTTTAGATTTTGGGTAATTGTTAATAACTTAAAATTTAAAGACCTATATTTTGAAATATTTCATAATTATATACTTTTTAGTTTAGACCATAGATTTAAAGTCACAAATTAAAATTTATCCCTATTTATTTTAATACAGATATTTCACAGTTGTGTTTCTATCACTTCTAGTTGATTACAATTTTTAAAAACAAATATGATGAGGTTTAAACTTTATCAAAGAAAAATATTTGGGTAAAATAAAAAATAAATTATTAAAAAAAATATATCACATATTATCAACTATTTTGTATATTTCATTTATGCATTATAAAAATTTGTTTAAATAATGTTTGTTTAAGTTTCATTTCTTAAGTTAGTAGAATAATTTTAACAAGTTGTAAAATATTTATTTTTTTAAATAACTTAAAACTTTCTAATTTATTATTCTTCCATTAAAATCAAAATTTCAATATTTGGTAGTTTATTTTATAGTTTAATACAAAATTGAAGTTATAATTATATTTTATACTAGAAATAAACTTTATACACAATTATTTTAGTTCATTGCAAATTTCAAAAATTAATTGTTATATCACTTGTTCTAGTTATTTTTGAATTGTCTTTTTCTTTTATAATTTTTTGAAAAACACCTTGATACCTACCACTGTTGAGTTTTAGTAAAAGTGTGAATTTTTCCTAGAAAATTTTTTTTTTGTCAACAAATATACTACTAATGGAAGAGAATTAAATTTGCTTCTGTAATTATATTTATACTTACGAACAATCTTTGATTGTTTTTGGTGATGTTTGATTTATTCTTAGTCTTAAGAATGTTAAGACTAAGTTAAATCTTTTAAAATGTGTACAATAAAGTTTAGTTGGTAAAATTTGTCCAAAAGGTTTGCCAGAGAACTAGATTTTTTTTTATTAAATCTATAAACAATTATTTATTTGAAAATTCTTCACTCTTTAATACTTCACGATTAAACAAAAGAAATATTATTAACAATTTTTTAATTCTTTATCAGTATACCTAATGGTTACTGAACATGTTTAAAGATTTTAAGTCTGTTTTTTCAGTTACATCTAGTCTGGCTTTAATTAGTTTATGGTCACTGACGAATAAATGATGAATTTTTTGTCAAGCTTTTTAATTTATTAAATATGATTATTGATTAATGATTATTTTTCCACAAATTTATTTAAAGTAAGGTAAATATTATTTCAAACAAAAAATAATGTATTAATGTTTTACAAATTATTATTGTATTATCAATTATATAAATAAATACATGGATCATACAATATATTAAAACGTGAAAAATGGGAAAATGTGTTATGTAAATAAAAAGTGTCTATTCATTGTAAGTTTATATTCATAGCTAAAACTCTCTAGTCTACATGTATATATCAAATATAAATGTACAGACATTATGCATTGTATAGTCATACTCGTAAAAAATTAACAAATATGGACATATAGATTTGTCAATTTATTTGAGTAAAGTAGTTCTAATTCTTATTAATTATTTCAACTATTTGCATTGAGTAAATAATTTTAAATACAAATACATTATAAACTCCAGTATTACAAATGTAGTTATTTCATTAAATATAACATGATGTATTAATTATTTAAAAATTATTTATCTATAAATTTGAACATTACCTTTTAGGTAAAGTAGATGACATTTTTTTTATTCTGATCTAATATTTATTATTGTTACATAATACTATGATGTAAATAAATTATATTCTCAAAGCTTGAAACCTGTACACACTTTGCACCGTATATAAAAGTTATAATACAATTGATCCTTTAATGTTCTATATTATTTATAATAAAACACATTTTACTAAGAATGTAGTATTTAACTATTTTAAGGAATTTTTTAATTAATGACAATTGATATTCATTTTTGTATATATATTAAAAAAACAAAACACTGCCTCATATTCTATTATTTTGTGTCAAATTAAGTGTTTTATACATGATACTTTTTAGTCATTAAGTAGGTATTCATGTATTCTATAATTCATTGGTGGAAAATAAAAAAGTGGTCATAATTAATAATCTTCATTTTAGAGATTTAAATTAGGATAATAATTTATAGTTGAGTATTGTACTTAAATAGTTTTTTTAATTTGTAGATTTTCAGTTTATAATAATGGAAAAAGAAAACAAATGTAAAGCTTAACAATGGTTTCATACTCGGATAGTGTAACATCTAATTTAACGGCGATCGCCAATAATAATATTCAACAAACTGATCAAGCAATATTTGAAGCTGATAAGCGAGCTGTTTATAAGTAATTTTTGATTATAATTACCTGTGTATTTTTGTTTCTTAATATTATTGTTTTCCAGGCATCCACTTTTTCCTTTACTAGCATTACTTTTTGAAAGATGTGAACAAGCTACTCAGTCAGCAGCAATCTCAAATTCTGAAAGTTTTAACATGGATATACAAGCATTTGTTCAACATCAAGAAAGAGATAGAAAACCATTTTTAATTAATGATACAGAAATTGATGGACTGGTATGTGTATTAAAGTGTCTTAAAAAAAATTTATCTATTGTTAACTGTAAATTTTTATTTAAATTAATGATAATTAAACACGGTCTATAATTTTATGTTCTTAAAATGTAGTATGATTTAGTTTTATAAATTGAAACAATAATTTTTGTATTATACTAGGTTCCTATACACTCCATTTGAAAAAAATATTTAATTTTTACTTCTCATAATCATAAGTAATGGTGTGGTACTTCTCGTATTTAGCACTTAAAAAATACACCAATAATAGTATGAGAAAAATATATTATTATATACTTTTATTTTATCAAATATATATGTATTTTTTTAATATAAGAAGATTTTTAAAATCTGGGAGTCGATCCATAGTCCATCTCCATTCTTCATATTTTATTTCACTCTTTAAGTTTGGTTCCATTATTTTATTTTAGCCATGCTTATTACTGATAAAATTATTAATTCATTTGATACAATTTAGATAAAGTTATATTTAATTGTATTTTACATATTTTTGAATATTAAGCATTTTTAATTGTAAATTTATTTTTGTTTTTAACAAAAACAAATTCTTTTTTTAATAAACTTTTTTTAATTTCTATACATTGTATGTCACATGTATAACAAAAATTTGGTTATATTATTAAAAAAATATTAGTCATTATTAAATTATCAAATAATGTTTATGTAATATAGTAAAATGTATAGTATTAACTTATATTTTAAATTAGTATTGAATAATTTTATTTTTTGCATATTTCATAATATTCTTTTCTTTTTTTTTGATTATTTTAAAACCTTTGAAATTTTTAGACATATTCATGCATATTTTAGAATTTTCAAAGGCATAAATACATTATTTGTGATATTGTGTTAGATTAATATATTATTTCCTATGTAAATATGTATATTATGTGAAATTTTACAATATATTTTTAGATGATCACAGATAATTTAAATGACCAAACATTATTAAATTTATTTTTTTCAGATGATTAAAGCTATTCAAGTATTACGAATACATTTATTAGAACTAGAGAAAGTTCAAGAATTGTGCAAAGATTTTTGTAGTAGATACATAACATGTCTTAAGATTAAAATGCAAAGTGAAAATTTATTGCGTTCTGATTACACATCTGGTTACATAGAAAACAATAGCAGTGGTAACTCAAGTAATAGTAATTCTCCATTATGCCATTCTCCACACCATAGTCAGGTATTTACTATCTATATTCAATATCATTGACTAAAAAGTTTACAGATAAGCCGTGGCTTAAAAAAAATGTTCTACAACCCTACCAATCCATAATTTACTAGTTACTTCATTAAAATATATTTCTTCAATCAATATGTTGGCAGTGTAAGATTTTTATCAACAACATCATCTGTTCTTGCTTAATGAATACATGGTGGCATAAAACATATTGACTGACAACAATATTTATTTCAAAATCTAATAATTAGATAATATAATAATACATATAATTATTATGTTTAAAAATGTTTTTTTTTTCACGATTTTTAATTGATATAAAACATTTTTAAAATGTATATATTATACTATTATAATTTTTTATCATTTTATTTTTTAATGAAAACATACATTTTTAATTTTATATTCTAAAGAAAAATATTTTCCTGAGTATATCAACACATGAAAATTAAATAGATTTTAAAACAATAAATATTGTTTGATTAAAAGAATCGTTCAACATACCTTGTTGTATGATATATCTTAAAAATATCATTGATTGATTATAAATTAAAAACACTTTCTTAAAAAAATTCTTAAATGATATAATATTTTGAATATTATTCATAAATGATGTACTTTATATGTTTTTAAAAATATTTTGATCAGAATTATATCTATCATTCAATATATTCTTGTTTAACACTCAAATAGGAATTTGAATTGAAATACAGTTTGATTATATCGTTGAATAAATATTAATTGCAAATCATTAACCATACTAGTTAGTTTTAGTTACATGCATTATTCTAAGTTATATACAGTGTGATCACAATAAGTGGAAACACTCAATAACTATGTGCAGGCTTCATATATTTCAATTCTGCTTTTTTGGGTAACTAATGAACATTGTTAACACATTTTTAAATAATTAGACTATTTTTGTGATATTTAGTTTTGCACACAGTAACTTTTTTTTTTTAATGGCAAGACCTATTTTTGACCACAAATTATTAATTTTGTATTTTTAATGAATTTTAGTAGTTGAATTTCTTTTCCAAGTTAAAAAAAATGGATGAGTTTTAGCAATTGTTAATGGCTTAGTGTATCTCCATGAGAAAAAAATGTTATGCTGACAATTCGAATGATAGAGGGTAAACTTGGGGGGTTTTTCTAACAAGATTAGTTATTCCAGGAACTTTTCATGTAACAAAGCGATTGTTTCTCTTGAAGTATGGCAAGTAGCACAAAATTACTTATCATCTGCCAATAAAAATAAAAAAATTAAAATGGCATTATTTTTGAAACATAAGTTATAAAAAAATATAATATAGAACATTTCAAACTGGAATATAGTAAAAAAATATTTTTTTTAAATTAAATGAAATAATTTACATGAATTAAGAAAATACATAAAATAAATAACATTTAATTAAATAAATGTAAGAATTGACAAAATAATTTAAACAAATCTTATATGTGCACCTATATTTTAATAAATGTATAATTAAATGTTTAAGATTAAGTAAACTTTAAATATGATTTTATTTATTTTATTCATTAGTTTATTGTGATACATTAGGTTTAGGTTTATAATGATGTTTGACAGGTGATATCCTCTTCAGGAGTTTCTGTGCGGCAGTCTGGAGACAACGATGTTATAAAACCAAAAACAATAATGGATTTAAAAAACATAACTTGTCTTTTGTCAAATATACCGTCTTCCACATCCATAGAAATGAAAGATGTATCTCAAGTCTCAGATGTTTCCCAACTTGATTTGACAGTCACCAAATCTTCACTTCAAAATTCTACTTTAGAAAAAACACCATTATCAGCAATTGGTACAAATGTATTACAGAATAATGTTTCTATTTTACATGGTAGGTAATAATTTATTATTTGTATATACTTAGAAAATTTTTTTTTTGAATTATAAATCATCATATATTTTTATATTTTAATCAATTTTTAAGTATTACATTTACATTAATTTTTTTTAGTATAATTTAATCACAGTTATTATATTATATATATGAAATATGTTTTATTATTTTTATCATAATTATTAATTAATATTCTTGTATACAGAGATTTTAAATATACAAATGTTAGTCATAAAAAATATAAAAAGAATTTTTTTCAATTTTAAAAAATAAAATAATTATTTAAACAAAAACTTTCTTTTATCAAAATGTTGAATTTAAAATATATTAATTAATTACAATTTATGTATTAGTGTTTATTTTTATTTATATATATATTTTAGGTTCCTTATCAGCTACTAGTGGTGGCTCTTGTGATGAAGAAGATGACTATTTTGGAAGTAAAAAGAAAAGACAGCAAAAAAGAGGAATTCTTCCTAAACAGGCTACCAGTGTTATGCGCTCTTGGCTTTTTCAACATTTAATTGTAAGAAAAACTAATATGTTAATGTATAAATATTATTACTTTTAACACAGTTGTTTAATATAAATTAGTTTTTCTATATACCCAATTACCCTATATGGCTATATGAGCATTATTACTGTTATTATATTTGTTATGTATTATTTATCATTCTGTACACAAATACCATGCCATATGTTTTTCGGTGAACACTAATTATAATAAATTTAAATTAAAATGAAAAAAAAAAGTTTAATAATAAAAAAAATAATGATTTTCAGCATCCTTACCCAACAGAAGATGAAAAAAAAATTATTGCAGCACAGACTAATTTAACATTGTTACAAGTAAATAATTGGTTTATCAATGCACGCAGACGAATATTACAACCAATGCTTGATGCTTCAACCCCAGATATTACTGGTATTTTTATTATTATGAGTGATAAGTATATAGTTAAATTTAATTAGTAATATATAAATATATATTTTAAAATATAGGTGAACAAAACTTTACTCTTTCTAAAGATAAGTCTGTAATTGTTGATAATAACAAGTTTTCATGGCCTGTTGATGTTATATTACAATCTCAAAATGTCAATGGTAAATAAAATCATAAATATCTCTAATAAATGTTTATATATATATATAAGTGATGGTGGGTTTATGTGTCTTTTGTTTTTCATTCTGTAAGTGTTATTATTTTATTTAATTATTATATTTATAATATTATTTAATTGACTTCTTTAGTCTTAGCAGATATTAAATAAGTTTTAATTCAAATAATTTAATGACTATAAATAATTATTTATAAATATTTTTGTTTAGAATACTTTCAAAATATTCAAGAATAAGCACTAACTGTTTTTTTATCTTGTTATGGTTACATTTCCACATTGTATTTTAATATATTTTATCCAACTAATTGTTTAGTTATAAATCTTTATATGTTGACTTGTTAAAAATAATTTTTAAATTATCATTAAGTCTATGTAAGATTTGATTTTTCGCCTTTTTGATTTTATCCCCTTAAAATTTAGAGTCTAAATCAGAAAAAATTTGTGATGAAATGTATAAATTGATCTGGAATAGATTTAACAAAAGAAACCTATATATTAGATCAATACTATAAGATAGTATCACTGTTTTCAATTTTCTTAATATTAGATTTTATGCTGTTTAGTGCTTACTAGCTGATATTTATTCCAGTATATAAAGAAGTTAATTTATCATGTAAAATATTAGTTAGGTACTAGGTATCATTTAAATTCCATAAATGTTTTCTTCACTTCTTTCAATAAGTTTTATACATTGATAAACTACACATCAAAGAATATTTTATATTGAGCTGTTATAATAAAAACTTATATAAACAAAATGTTTGGAGAGATTACTACACTCAAAACACCACTACTTATATCCCAATGTAGTAGCGCCTTCTTGATTAACATGAGATTTATATTTAAAATATGTGTAATTAATTTAGTATAAAATATAATACAATACAATATATTAATATTTAAGTTAATTTCATCAAAATATATTTAAATTTGTTAATATTTTTCTTCTTTACTGTTGTATATTGTGTTATTTAATCATTAAAAACTGATGTTTTTACAATTTTAAAGTTTTTAAATTTAAGAAATTCTATATAAACTAAGAGTAACTAAGTATATACATATGTCTATTAATGTTTAAATTCTATCTTGGATAGTGAAATTATTGTGTTTAAGAGTAACATTATTTTCAAGTATTTAACATATAAATAACTGATATAAGACATAATTTAATATATTAATTATACCAATAGCTTTCCTAAAAGTTCTGGAATTTAATGACCATTTGTTATTTACTATATATGGTAATACTATACCTTAATAACTTAAATTTGTTTAAGTATAGAAAATAAATATAAATCACTGATATATATATATATATATTTTAATTATATTATAATAAAAATTAAAGCTGTTATGTTATTTCATACAATAATAAAAATAAATTATTTTTAGAAAATTCAAATGAATCAAATTTTGGTGAAAGTGAAGCAGAAGATGATGATGATGAAGAAGAAGAAGAAATTAGTGATATTTTTTCTCAACATAGTGTTAATGAATCAGATTAGTCAGTGTTCTAAGAATAATCGTAATACATTGTACAATGCATATGAAATAGTAATCATTTTATATGTATGTATAGAATACATACTATTATATTATAGATGGTTAATGTTAATGTTAAAGCCATTTAATATATCTTACACATTAGACAATGTGAGATAATTTATTGAAAACACATTGATATGTTTCATACATTTTATTAAATGGTTAAATGTACTTAAGTGGTTTATTTAAGTTCATAATTATCATTGAATAAACTGATGAAGTGTGTTATCATTAAATAAATAAATGTTCCAAGCCTTAATAAGTATTATAAGTAATAACAACTAATGACTGTAAAAACAATTTGTACAAAAGTAAATTTTATTTAGAATAACTGATTGAAATTTAACTAGAGTTATTATTTAAATATATTATAGAAATATAATATTAAATGCTAATGATTTAAAAAATAAAAATACATTTTATTCCAAATAAGAATATACGGGTTTGTGCATTGCTCGTCACCCAATCCCCCCCCCCACAACTATGTGGTAAAAGCTATTTGCTCGTTATATTTTTATTTGAAATGGACCATATATTGTAATTTTATTTATAATTTAAGATTTGGAGTCCATATAAAGATTTTTAATATGTTCTTTTTTACATAAGAACAAAATATTGTCAAAAAAGAATAATAATACTTTTATGATCAATTGACCATCAATTTTCACCCATTATAATAAAATCACAGCAGTTTTCCTCAACCAATACTTCAACGCTTTGAAAATAAATGTTAAAATTGCCATAATTAATACTGTAGTGAATGGCAAATTTTTAAATTTACTAATTTGTTATCTATATTAAATATATATACTTATAAAAATAATTCTTATTTCATAAATGTAACTGCTTACATTGTGTATTCATATTTTTTTTTTAACTCTTTCATTACCTAATTTTAAATTTTTTTGAAAAAGTATTTGTATTCATATGTACTCAATTATTTTTAGGATTCTATGTTAACTTATTTTTTTATTCTTACTCTCGTCTTATACTATTCATTATTATATACAAATAAATCATATTTTAGAAAAAGTCTGCATAATTATTATGATAAATATTATACAATATATCTTCAGTATAATATGTAATCTTTTGTGAAATTTTAATGATTTTAGATTTGAAGAAATGTATTATAATTTTAGTAAACATTAAATAATTCTTCATAAATTAATAGATTATAAAAATATTTTATTAATTTTTTTTTTATTTTTTTCATTTAAAAAATTAATTTTATACTCTACCTTGAAGTATGTTTGTATAATTATATATATATGCCTTTTTAAATCTTATATATATTTTACATATAATTCAAGACAAATATTCATGTGGCTCTTAAAAAAAATATAATTCATAACATACATTCATTGTTATATTCCAATCAAATTTTTAAATGAAATGCATTTTTTTTTTAATTCATCTAGATTTACTTAAAATTTTTATTTCATTATTGAAATTATTGTAGTTAATGTAAAATCAACTATATTCTACATGTATTTTATGTTTGAAATAATACCATATAAGTATGTCATCATTTATAATTATACTTGCTTATTGTTTTATGTGAAATAAATCGTAAATTGAGTAATAATTTAATCTGTGCGTGTAATTTAGTATGATAAATAATGGATATGCTATATGTGTTACAAAAAAATTGTAATAATACATATATAGATGTATATATTATTGTCATCATTAGCATATATAGTAAGTATATTATCTTTTCTTTGTTAAATAAAAACATAAAATTACTTAAAGGTTTTAAAAATAAAAATAAAATGATGGTTCGCATAAATATAATTTTGAAGAATTCCTAACATATTAGGAAAAAATATTTAAGAATCTATTAAAAAATTAAAAACTAATAATTGTATAAATCATAATAATAAAAATGTTATGCAGTTTTTGCCATAAACACAATTTGTATCAATTAGTAAATTTTGTTTAGCTTATAACATCTAATATTATATAGATTTGATCTATTATTATACTTATTTTTTAGCTCAATAATAACCCTTGTTAACACTTTATGCACAACACCAATAAATACATATTATGTTATTTAGCTATTTACTACCTTTCAAGGTTTTATAATGATATTGTTTAATATTAAAAGAAATGCCATAAATGAAAAAAATATGTCTAAATATGTAAAAATTATAAGTCTAGAGACCATTTCTTATATGTTTAGTGTTTTCAGATTCAATATTTACATTAAATACATAATTTTCATTAAGTAAATTATCTGCATTGGATAAATTATCTTCATTAGCATCATTAAATATGTGAACCTTTTTAACAATATTTCTTCTATTGTAATATATTATACAGAATAATATACTGTCAATTATCAATATCATACTTCTTCAAAATATTCATCAACTAGAAAGTTAACTTGATTATATTTTGTAACAATATTTAAGTACGAATTTAGTCATTAAACAAGATTATTTCATTTAGAAAATAAGAACATTTATTAGATATAATATATGAAAATGTTTTCAAATACTCGTTTTTTAACATTAATTTCATGTCATTTAAAATTCAAAAATTAGTATGATTAAAATGTTTAAAATTATAAAGTTGAAATAGTAAAATATTGATTTCTTATTTTATTTGTATTTTACTATTATGTCAATTGTATTACCTAGGTAAATAGTAGAATTGTTGAGAATATGTATCTAAATAAATTAAAAATAAAGTATCGATCATTTAAATAATAAAAAAAAATTAAACGTTATAATGAGTAGTTACATAAACAGTATGTACCTATACTTGCCTAGATAAAATGTATTAAATATTTAAATAATATTATAATGTACTTACTTTTAAATTTGTAAAAATGAAAACCATTTCTTTTTGATTTAGATTCGGTAAATTTCTCTTTTCTTTTAAAAGTAAAATTAATTTTTTTTTTCATCTCTATGAAAAACTTTAATATTATCTTCTAAGTTACCAGAGTGACTTTTGTCACTTGTTAGGGCATCACTTATTTTATAATTATTATTTACTATTAGCAATAAGATTATCCTTTATTTATACCTACCTATTAAATTTTAAAATAACTTCTAATGCGGGTATAAAAATAAATCGCGAAATCGCTGGAATAACATTAGAGAAAATTATCGTAAATCAATAAGTAAAAATCAATAAGTAGTCAGGCCTACAAAAAATTAAAAATAAATAAATATGGTAATCAGCTTTAGTTTTTAAAACCTCATTTTTAAGAGGAGGATACTTTGAGTAATTTAAATAATGTGAACAACTATGATCTATTTAAGTATTACAGTTTTTGAAAATGTTTTCTAGGTCTAATGTTATTATTGTGTTTTAATTATGATGGGTGAGGATCTCCTCTAATGAAGTACTATTAAGAAATAGATGTTCGGTAAGGCAGTTGGTTGAGATCCTGTGTCGTAGAACAATCTCAAGCGGATTGTCAGATCGATATTTGTTGTTATAATAAATGTGTTCAATTAAACTGATTCTAGTGTTCTTTATTTAGTTTCGTTTTATTGTTCCACTGTTAGCTATTGAAGGAAAATATGGTTAACACAATGATAGTGAGGACGATGTTCAGGACCGGATTAACATTATCGTAGGCTCTAGGCATAGATGGTTAAGAAGGTTTCTCTTTGAAAGACTGTTAAGCTTTTTAAAATTAAATTAAAATCTAAACTTTTATATCATAATAATTTTAACAAATCATAAAAATAATTTATTTTTAAGTTTTGTTTTTTAATTTTAAATTGCCTAAAATGCATCACACTGCTTTTTATAAATCTTATTTTGTTTCTTATTTCATTGGTTATTTTCCTTTTATTCATCTAGAAGACAAACACCGCTAGATCTTCTAGCGATTTGTTTATGCTTCAACTATATCACAATTTTAGTTAAACACCAGAAAAAATAGTGAAACAAGGTATGTAAAACGCGCGTGTACCTATTCAGTAAGATAGGTACTAACGCCATTGAACAGATACGGAACGGCATTGTGTAAATCCAAAGCACTGAAGCTGAACGGATGACGGTACGGATAAGAAACGGTTATATGTAATTGACCTTTAGTCTTCAAATGCTAAATGTATCAATTAGATACGTCTTTACTGGTTTTAGGTCGAGACACTCATTCAACGGCCAAATGGTGACCATCACTCGGAGGAAGAATAGCTCAATGTTATTAATAACTGTATGAGGGGCAACCCGATATGACGAGCCGTGATGTGTCGACGGTGATAATCGGTGGTAGAACACTTTTAACCAGAATGATGTATCGTCGTCACGAACGGCGATACACAACTGCGGACTGTTCTTATCAGAGCTTTCTTTAATAACACGATTGAGGACGATTATAGTTAAACGATGGACCCTCGAAAATGACATGACTACGGATGTATGTTGCAAAAATTGTAGACCAAAGTTGAACCCAAGGTTTATTAATAATATTAATAGTTTATGTTGTATTATTTAAATAGCTTTTAATTGAATGTATATTTTTATTAATGAACTACTAATGGAGCAGAACGTTTTCACCTGCCATACAATTAATAATAATCAATTTCATAACACTCATCCTCCGATTCGTGTAGTTTATCGATTTTAAAAGAAACTCAAGCCGACACGGAGACAATAATTTTATCAATAAAAATCGAGAAAAATTAGTGACAAAAAAAGATTTAGTTAGAATTAAATTAATTATTTAGAGCAGCAGTGTAACTAGGGAGGGGGGTTCCGGGTCCAAACTTCCCCCTCTTGAAGCGTATCGTTTCTTTCTAAAATACCGTAATTTTATTGTGGTAACAGTAATATACACATTGACAGGTGCAGACTGGGCCTACTGTAGCACAGTAATAAAAATATACGCTAAAGGGCGCTGGGTACGGCGGTGGCGGTGACATGGGAGAGGAGGGTAGTGGGCGGTGGAAGCTTGAGCGGGCGGAAGATAGTGGTGGCGGCAGGATCAGGGAGCAGGAGAAGGTTTTTGACTAGGCCATTCCATCCTATTATTTAGGCTCGCTGCTTTCGTCGTCGGGGGGCTGCAGCCCTCCATATTTTTTTATTATTTCCATCAAACGCGTCGGCAACTGCAACGTTTGGCAGTCATCAGGTCTGAAGTCAGATGAGGTGGCGGTAAACGAGCAGTCCCGCAACACGTCGCTGCTGGTGGGCTGCTTGTCTCTGTCTCGGGACTTGGCGTCCAACCGCGCGTGACGCAGTGCCGTCTCCAGCTGGGCAGCCCTGGCGTGAAGCGCGGTTTCTACCGCGAAGTTGGCTTTCAATTCGGCGTGCAACCGATCGTTGTCTTCGCGCAGCCCTTTGGCGCTGCATGTGACCGGCGCTGGTTTGCGCCCCGCCACCACGTCCGACATTTCTTTCACGACCGCCCGCGACTGGTCCAAATCGCGCTGCGCGTCGCCCAGCTCGGCGGTCAATCGCTTGGCCATCGTCCGCAACTCGGTCTCTTCGCGGTCCCGCTTCGTCCTGTCCGCTTCAGCGAGCACCGTCAGGTTGGCCGTGCACCGCTTCAGATATTCTTCTGTCTCCGACGCCTTGGCCAGCCGGTCCTTGGCGCCGGCCAACTGTCTGGACACCGCCTCGGCCTGGTCCCTGTACGTCTTCAACTCATCCAACAATTTGTTGCTACATACCTGTAAATGCGGACGGGTCGAAAGAGATTTGTAATGCCATGTAAATATTATATTCAACCTGTCATCTACGTGCGAGTACCTATTTATAGGTCGTGTACGGGCTATTGCGCGGTAAATGATTGTATTTTATCAAAAGAAAAAATTTTATAAAATTTTTTATTTTTTATTATGTGTAGCTATAGAACCTAGGTGTATCTTGATATAATATTACATATATATATAGTTCGGTTTGGTTAGGCAAGGGAAAAACATTCGTTGAATCATTTTTGTCGGAATACAATTATTAAGGACTTTTTAGAGTAGGTAGGTAGTATATTTTATACGTTAAAGAGGAGTTACGTAGGCGCAGATACGTTTATATCGCGTAGCTACGAGGTACCTTCTTTTTTTTCGGTTTAAATCGATGACGTCGTGTGGACCGCTTTTGCATTACTTCCATGATGTACGAGGTACCGATACCTATCATAATAGACGCATTATATATTATACGGTTCGTGTAATCGTGTGCCGTGTGGTAAAAGAATACAAATATTGGTTATAGAACATATACGATATGTTTATATTACAAGGCAGTGTTACGTTATTTTGATTAATTACTCATAATTGTTTGCTGTTATCGGAAAAATGAATGCATTTGTTTTTTTTCTTCTCTTTTTTTGATAACCTGTTTAAGTTATAGTCACTATAGAGTCTTTAAATTCAAATTAATTAGCAGAAAAACAATTTTAGGTTTTTATGAAAACTATTAAAAATATATATAGTTAATTTAAAGTCTGAGACAAAAAAATACTTGCACATAATATGACATTAGTCTAGGTCTCGGATTTATATGCATTTGGATGTTTTTTCTGAATAGTCCAAAAAATAGCTAGGTAAGCTATTGTAGTCAATAGATCCTAAATATAAAGTTTTATTTTGCATATTTTGTCATTTTTTGACATGTACTAAATATTTTTATATTTTACGATTTTTTCATTACATATATACGGTTTTTAAATGTAAATATTTTGCTTATTTTAATTAAAATAACGTATTTATAGCTATATTTATAGTCCATGTAATTTGACAGTATTTTGTTCAGTATTTTTTTTTCAATATGGTCACCCTAACTTAGTACATACTTATTGCATATTGTAATATAACATAAACTTAACTCTATACGACTCACTTCTAACTGTAATGTTGCTACAGAATCGTCTTTGTCGGAGTTGGTCGAGTTCTTGGCGAACTTGCAACCGGTTATTTCTATGACTTTATTCTTCAGACACTGTTCTGCGAACTTGTATCGTGCATTTTCCGAGCGAATCTTTTCCAATTCCTTCTCGTACACATCACATTCTTCCATCATTCGCTGATAATTAGCCACCATACCGTCGCGCAATAACAATTGTTGGCTCATTTTTACATTAACATTTTCCCGGAGCTCTAACAGTTCGGTTTTCAACATTTGGGTTTTTTCTTCAGCAATACTCATTTTAATAATATTACAACTTATATTGTATAATTAATAAAATTTAATCAGGTATACAAGCAATAATTGCTCAGTTTATTATTTATGAGCTATATTAGATCAACTAAAATAAAATAATCTAGTACAATATTACCTATATTTATTTAATCAGATAAATAGGTATATATGACGACATGGATCCCATAGAAACAAGATAAATTTAATTCGATATTAAGTGATTTTTTTTTAAACGATTTTTATTTTTCTAAATGACAGTACTCAGAAATAGAAATTTTAATTTTATATGATGTAATTATGTTGAGTTTAATTTGATTATTTTTTATTGTATCATCGTCGTCTGTCGATGACGACAGCAATGATAACGATTATTTTATTATAGTATGGTATGTTGTACAGCAGTGTGATTCAATTTTCGTTTAATCCAGGTGTCTGCCGTCTACTATCATGTGTTATTTAGTTGTTTCTAATAAATATTATTATTTCCTAACAACAAAAATATAATTATTTTGGGATTTAGTAAGTTCCCACACGAAACATAACAGGTAAGCGGGTACATATGTAAGTTCCATCACGAAAAATAATACACCCATGCGTAAGTTCCCACACGAAAAAAAAATATATAAAATAAATAATAATAATAGAAAAAAAATCACATTTTATTGATGAATTAGGAAAGTGGCTGGTACATATATTTGGTTTACCATTTCTTAATCCAATAGAAGTTGGAAATTGTTTTATAAATAGTTTCATAGTTGAAAAACCAAAAAAATAATAAAATATATGAATTTTGCGATTATTTAGTGACTAATTACATCGAAGATACCAGTACGTTCTCTCCTAGTATTTGGGCTAGTGCTAGTTCTGATACAAGTCTTACTACAAAAGCTTGCAAAAGTTTTTAATCTGAATTCAACTCAAATTTTTATCATCATCATCTTAATATATTCATAATAATAGAAGTTTTAAAAATGTTTCAAACAAATACATATATAAAGATAAGAACATCAGATAATAAAAGTAAAGAAAAGATGAAAAACAAAATTATATCAATAATAAAATATCAGATTTTAACTTAAAAATAATTACACAATATGACTATGTGAAGTGTTTGAGCTTTCGCAATAAGCGATATACTTGAAAACTATAAAAGATTCACAATTTCCATTTCTTATTTGGGCTGAGGAGTAATTTTCATACCTAAGAACAACTAATGGCCCAGAATCTTTCCATCCAAATCATCAAAATGTTTTAAATCTATTAACGGAAATTCAAACAGACACCAATTTTAAAATAAAAATAATTAATAAATTATAAGAAGAAACCGAAGAAAAACTAAATTTTGTTAAAGCCTGTAACGTATGTAAAACATAAAACATATGAAATTGAAAAAATATACTAAATTGTATAAAAACATTAGGACCACATTTTGCGGCAAAAAAAAATTAATTAATAGAATAATATACAATAATATTAATAAATAAAAATAATTAACATGGAAATTAAAAAAAAAAAAATATCTAAATTTTTATACTTTCGAAAACTATTGAGCCAACCTCCTCGTGGTGTCTTCTGGATAAAGTTAATAGGCTCAGATTTGGTTTAATATACTAATATATGCAAAAAATAAATGTGCCCAAATGTGTTATTATGATTTACGCTCTAAGTATTTTGTTTTGGGTAAATGCGCCCAAAAGTATTTCTCCTCATTCTGAATGGTTGTTAATTAAATAAAAAATTACCTTTACTGTTTTAATAAGACAACTAAACATTAAATAATATCAATGTTAATTGCGGTAATAATACAGATCTAAGTTCTGCCATTAACAAAAACATAAATAATAACAACAATTATGAAATAAACTCAATTTATAATACATGTATGGATACAATTAATACTAAACTGAATAGTGAATACCTAACAATAAAATATAAATAAATATTTTCATTAAACAAATAAACTATTAATATGAAATATATTTTATAAACAATTAACGTAAAACCTTCATTACCAACTATTATGTTGTTCAGTATTTCACATTGCTTTTATTTGAAATATTTTTATTCAATTTTTTTTAACAATATTACAAGTAACATGTCTTATTAAATATTATTATTATTATTGTTATTATCATTCGATAGAAACAAATAATAATTATAATTTAATACAATTTGTACGTAACAGGGACGTATACCTACCGAAGTCGTGATGATCGTTGAACCGCCGCCGTCGCCTCCACTGACAGTAGGTAACTTTAGAACGAGAAGCCACTAAACCCATACGCCCCTGGTACTCGGGACTCAACTTCGGGAAATCTAATGCAATACTGACATACGCGAGTGGTCTGAACAAGTCGAGCCGGGTTACTCCGGTAAGAAACTGTAAAACGAGAAGCCACTTGGCCATACGCCCCTGGTACTCGAGACCCAAAAATGGGGAAACTGATGAAATACTTATGTACGCGAGTGGTCTGGTGGCCTGGAAAAGAATGTCTCAGACAAGTCGAGCCGGGTAGGGAACTCTGTTAGGGACCTATTTATCGAGAAGCCACTAAATCCATACGCCCCTGGTAGTCGGGGCTCAGTTTCGGGAGATGTAAACATATTTTTTAGTGTTTAAGAGGCCAAAATCAGTGACAAAGTTCAACCGTAAAAACATGCTTTCGTACTTCCCATTTTCCTCAGCTCTCGTTAGACATGGAAACATGATTTTTTCACCAAAATAAATTTGAGAACTTCCTCTAGGTAACTGCGTTCCAGGTTTTTGATTTTTTTTTTTCAAACCGATTATATTTGCATTTGAAATTTTCAAAATTTTTAAAATTTTAAAAAAATCATATAAAATAGACAAAAAAAGATAACAAAAAACTGGAACGTATTCGTCTAGAAAAATTTCTCAAGTTTATCTAGGTGAACAAATTATGTTTTTACGATTAACGAGAGCCGAGGAAAATAGGAAGTACGAAAGCACGTTTTTGGAAAGAAAAATTAGAAATTTACAGCTGTTGAGTGCTGCTCTACTGAATATAGTGGCAGCTTTCGAAAACAATGTTCATACTAGTTACTACTACCCCGCACCAGATTACAGCAGCCATATCGTATCGTGTGTTGTCTGCGTCTTATATGCATACAACTTAGCAAATTTTCGTTAAGCAAAATCTATTTCATGTTGTTAGCTTTAACATAAGAGTAAATTTACCTATTATCCAAATTAAAGGTAAGAATTTTTTCTAGGCAATAACATGCTTTATTAATATTACTAGCTGCCGGTGAAACTCGATCCCGGGTATGTAGAAGCCGACTTCGGCGTCTTTCAAGGTGGTTGAGTAAATACTGAAGTCGGAGACAGGACTTGAGAAAAACCGCAGTTTGAAAAGTCTAGTAGACAAAAGTTAAGTTTCGTGATGTAACTGATAATAACGACGTTTGAGACGTCGATACCACTGAATGGCAAGAAAGTACGTATGTATGTTTAAAGTTTAAAAATGTTCATATTCCCATGCGATTGGCCTAGCACCTGACGTTTCGGAAATATTAAGTTTTGTCCTTGTTCCACTTGTTTTCGGTAATTATTCTTTTATTTATTTTCTACGCTTTGTTTAACGAATAAAGTTATTAAATTAGTAGTTAGTTATAATTACTAGTTCGGCAAACATAAATAATGTATAAATAATATTTACACTAGTTACTTTTTAAACTACATATAGGCTATGGCACCTTTTATTAATGAACTCTTATAGGTACTTGATATTATTTAACAATATTAGTACCTATTATTTGTTACCTACAATTTGTTTCTATCTTTAAGACTCATGTAAAATCAAACAATTAAGTATACTACTATATTGTATAGTGTATACAATACTGAATACATACATTAAAAATATATTTAAGCTAGGGGACAGGTTCGGGTTTTGACCGTGAGAAATACATTTTTTTGCTCTCCCCCAGATTTTTTTCCTGTTATACCACTGACTACACATAAACATAATATTTCAACAAATTTATAATTTCACAAGAATAAAATAGGTATTTTGAAAACAATTGAGATATTTCGATTATGAGCTAAATTATCGAATAGTTCTTGAGATCTCGAAATAGTTGGAATGTTTTGAACTATTGACTGTTAGGCAATTATTATAACTATATAATTTATTTACTGTTTAGTAATCAAATTAGTATATTTTTATCTGAAAACATTATACATAAATTGATAAATACAATATAGACATAACACATTACAATTTTCAATATTATACTATTATAGTATAATTATAATTATATTTATTTCAGCCTAAACTATTTTTAGTCGTTTTTACATTCAAATTCAATCTATGTTGTATAATTGCATTATTCTTATTTTTTTTATTCGTGCATCTCGAGCTCGAATAAATCGTTCATCCCTTAGTTAATTAAAGTCATCGCCTAAACACGTTGATTTTTTTTTAGACAATTACGAGTTGGCTATATGTTCACGTTATCCGATATGTTTAATCGACCATGTTTGGTCACAACGTCAATCGTCGATAAACTATTAGTCGTCAGCCACGACATAAGAACTGTTTACAAATCTGAACACATTAGTGGAAATGTTTAGGAAATGTATTTTCCTATTAAACGCGCTTAAAATACATGAAACGGAGTTTTGTAATATTTTAAGTGTAACTCAAATTCTTATATTTATTTACTATATATTTTTTTAATTTTATGATCATTTATCTAGCAAAAACATAAAGGTTTAGGAACTTACGTTCCTTCATTGGAAAAACGCGAATTTACTCACAATCAAGTGTTACCTACCTTTAGTTAATGGATCCGCGTAAAGCCCTCAAATATCTAAGCGTATCTTTCTCGAATACCAATATATTTCTTACTACCAAGTTATACAGGCGCATCAAACCTTAATATATATACCAACTTAAATTTTTAACAACATGATATTTCGGATATTTTTAATGGAATATATTTTAAGACCTTAAATGATGCAAAAATATTTATATTTTAACGTGAAATATCGTAATATTTAACTTATTGTTATTTTTTATTTTGATCACTTCACAAGAGTACAAGGCTAATAAGTAAAACATTATTTTAGTTTAAACTATCAATATATTTAGTGTTTCAATAATGTTATATTTATATTCTTATTAGTTATTACTATGTGTTACATACTTGAATTACAAGCATCATAGGAGAAAAACATTATGAATAAAGTATTTACGTATTCAGTGCCGGCTCAAGGATTTGCGGGGCCTGGTGCGAAATAATTTTTTTATATGAAAGCAGGGGCGTGCTCACGGGGGGATGAGGGTATCATATCCCCCCCATGGGTCCATGGATTTAATAAAAAATCTTTTTTTTAGAAACGACCTTTGTTTTTATGATAGTAAATTTTCAATTTTTTGGAAAATATCACCCCCTCCCCCCACATTAGAAAAAGCTGTGCACGCCACTGTATGAAAGTGTTATTTTCATATATGAATATATATACATATATATTATGTACAAAATACATAAAATGATTTAAATAAAATTTTTAAAATAAATAAATCTCCTTAATTTCATAAATTTGTTACACTTACTGGATTACCTATTAGCATTATTACTTAGAAGTTTTAGTTTTCAAATCAAACGTACTTTGATGTTTATTAGTAGTGCGTTACACCTAATACGTCTAGATTATACAAGTTGAAATTTACGTAGGTACCATCCATTAAATGTTTTTCCCAAATATTTTAATTGCTCTAATAAATTCAATTATATGTTAAATAAATATTAATAAAATCCTCTTTTAATAAATACAAAAATACTAAACAATGTAAGAATATGAATTAAATACAGTAATTATTTTTAACAATATTCCTGGTTTATTTTAAAACAAATATAATGTAACAAAACAATAACTAAATTAATTGTTTTTTTCTAGCTTTTTGAAGTGCAAACTGGTCAATAAGTTGGTTGTAATCTAATGTTTCTGCTAATTCATTTTCGATTAAGAGTATCGCTAACCCAGAAAGTCTGTCTTGAGAAATGGTACTACGAAGATAGTTTTTAATAATTTTCAATTTTGAAAACGCCCTTTCTGCACCTGCAGAGGCCACTGGGATAGTCAACAAGATTCTAAATGCAATGTTTATATTAGGAAATGAACCACAAGATGTTTTAAGAATTCTTAGAGCTTGAATGGCAGTAGTATTTTCATTGACCATAGTGCGAAAAATTATCAGCTCACTACATAAATCAGTCGTATCAATATCTGCGGATTCGCCATCCGTGAGTGTTATTTGTAAATCTTGACTATGTTTAAATAATTCTTCTTCTCCCATATTTTTCAACTGGCCAATTCTGTACAAAAATCCAAATTGTTTATTGTATTGAGTTATTTGTTCAAATCTTTTTTTTACTGATGCCAGAGTTTGGTCAACTAATACTAAAAAGTATTTCACTTTAAAATTTTCTTCCTCGTTGTTCAAAGAATCATCTATACTTTCATAATGAAACATTTTGGTCTTTTTTCTAATTTTATTTTTTTTAAACTTTATTTCAATTCCCATTGGTGATATAATTTCTTCTGCTTTAACTTTAGCTAATGCATATCCATTTTCCCTATAGTTTTCCAAAAAAATAATTAAACCATTTAGTAAACTCATTGAAACATCTAAGTCAATTGTCACTGACTGTAGACTCATACTAACAATATTTATTTCAGATAAAATATCATACCATATTATTAAACTTAAAATAAATTCATAGGTACATATTTCTTTGGCTAAAGAATGTGATTCACTTTTTATTTTTAAATCATTTGCTGTATCCGAAATCTCCTCCAAAGCTTCTACAACTTCGTTTAATTGGAATCGAATGGCTTTCACAGCGTTCACACGACTGTTCCATCGGGTTTCTGCCCATTTTTTTATAGAAAGCTTATTAAAATGTTTTTTTAAAATCTTCCATCTGTTTATAGATGCTGAAAATAAAACATAAATCCTTTCATTCATTCCAAAAAATAATTGAGCCATAGAAGAACTTCCTCCAGCATCCTTGAGACAAAGGTTAAGGCTATGTGCTGCACACGGGACAAAAAATGCACGTGGATTTTGTTTTAAAATATGAGCCTTTACACTTTTATATAAACCTGCCATATTCGCTCCATTATCATAAGCCTGTCCTCGAATGTTATGTATGTTGAGACCATACTCTTTTCATTTTTCAATCAAAATATTTGATAAATCCATTCCAGTAATTGAGCTAATATGTACAAAGTCCATGAAATATTCTTTTATTTCAGAACAGCTAGATTCATTTTCAAAATCGATCTGTACAGTTCTTATTATAATAGAAAGTTGTTCACAGTGATTAATATCTGGTGTGGTGTCCATAATAACAGAAAAATATGTAGAATTTTTTATCAACTTTATTATTTTAATTTTTACCTCCTGTGCCATCATGGAAATCAACGAGTTTTGAATATTATGTCCAAGATAATGAACATGCATTTCGTTGTTTTTAATACGACGTACATGTTCAGAGATAACCGGATCAAATTTCGCTAACATTTCTATAATGCCTAAAAATTTACCATTATTTTTCTCATATAAGATATCTGAACATTCTCGGAAAGCATCATTATTTTTAGCTAAATACTGTATTGCGGAAAGAACTCTTAGTAAAACATTCCGCCAATGAGCTTTTTCTTTATCGATCATTTTTATATGGTCATTATCAATTGTATGACATTTATTGACTCGAGTTTTAAGTTCATACCAAGCTTTTAGTGATTGTAAGTGATTTGAAGAATTTTCATGTTTATTCAGTATTCTTGATAAATGTCTCCAATAATTTATACCTGTTGTACTAAGTCCATTAATATGTAATGGAAACAGTTTACAATAAAAGCAATAAACACAGTTTTTCTTTTTAGAATAAATTAGCCAATATCTATTTACAACTTCACCATTTGATAATCTGCGAGTATAGTAATAATCGGAAAACTTTCTTTGCTCGGAGTCTATTGGATAATTAAAATTGTTCACTTTACAGGGGCCGTTTTTTACTATATCGATACGTACAGTATGAGTAAGATGGATTGGCCAATTTCCAGGGTCTGTTAAATCAGTTATAACTACTGGAGATTCAAAAGTAGAATTATTTAAATGTTGATTAATTGCTGATTGTTTATTATAAGAAATAGTAGATAATACAGTTTCTACTGAATCCTCATTTCCTAAAGATTTAGATATGTTATTCTGAAGGGTGTGATCAGTTTCAGATTTAAGAGGTGAATTTTGTTCATAAATACTTGTTGAACTATCAGAAATTATATTGACGTATTCATTATTGGTTTCTTTAAAATATTGTTTAGAAACCATAAATTTAGCACGCTTGTTTAGTTGTTTATTGCATATATTTTGATAATTTTTCATATATTAAGTCCCGAGTTCTAGTTATTATACCCACTTACTACAAATATAGATTTATTCTCAATGAATACCATGTAGGTATGATTTTTTAGAGTTTAAATACAAACTGCACAATGTAATAAATAAAATGGGAGTTTATGTAGGCAACCTAATTGTACACATTTCCATCAAATAATTATTATGATTGATTTACAGCAAGTTGACTAAACTTGACAAAACTATTTCGCCATAGCAATAATAATAAATATGAATACTAGTTCAAAATAATAATATACACAAATCTGTGTGTTAAACTGTCTAATAATATATTTATAAAAATAATTTATAATTAAAATTATTAAATTAAAAGTGTAATAATATAAAATAAGTACTTACCTACGAAATAATCGTTCATATATCGCGTGTGGAAACTATACGTCTTATTATTGCGGGTGCTCGTGTTTTAATAAAATAATAATACTATCAAGTGAGTTAGTGTCGTCCGTATGCTATGTAAAATACGATGTATACAAATTATGAAGAAAATTAAAAATAACAAATAACAACACGACTGCAGTAATAATAATCGTTATCGCCGACGACGACGACGACAACCAAAAATAAAAATAATTATAAATTATACTAATAATAGATATTCGATTTGTCGGAGAAAACAATATTAAATAATAATAATAATAATAATATTCGTTATTAACTGTAAGTTATAGTTGTTATACACCCACGGATTATTAATGCATTTAAAAACTTTAAAAATATTATTGCTCAAAAGTAAAATTATTTTTTGTTTTTGGTTGTGTAATTTTGGTAAGGTAAAGCGCGGGGCCTGGTGCATGGGCACACCTCGCCCCCCCCCCCCCTTGCGCCGGCCCTGTACGTATTAACTCTAGAACGGCAATCTATGTTCATTGTTCATAATATCTAATACATTACAAAATAAAAACGTGCACTACCGAACTATACACGTCTATCCGCGGCACACCACCAGAGCGCGTACTTTACATAAATTACCTACACAGTACACTATGCTATACTGATTAATAGTAAGGTGGTCTAATTATTTACGTGTTTTTGTTGTTTTCAAAGGTTGTGAGTTATATTGAATTATAACAATTAGGTATGTTGTAGCCAATCGTATAAGCTGCAAAAACATAAGCATAAATGTGATCATCATATTATATTATGTCAGATTACACCTTAACATATATATTAAATAAATAATTACCGCGTGAAAAAATGATAGATTTACAGAAAAGAAACCGCATGCCGAAACTTCAAGTTTTTTGTTCATAATTTGGTATGTAAATGAATTGATCTAAAAAAATAAACCTTAAAGAATAAATATTATAACATTTAAATGTTCTATAATATGTATTAGGTACATTTTATATTATGTATTCATAATTCATAACAAAAGAAGTTCATAGGTACGCATAATATTTGACAGTAATTCGTTATATTTTTAGAGCAAATCTTTAGGTTCTTACATTTATTTAATTGCATTATGCAACTTAATGAGAATAAAAAATTTAAACGATTTATCCATCACAATGTGTAGATAAAAAATGTATTTTGCATATTAAAGCATATTATGGAATCAGATAATATTTGGCCTATTTTTTAAATTTTAGAAAATATTCTATTATTGATTATAACAATTTTTCGAATCGTAAATTGTAATGAACCACAATAACTGTTTTTGTTGAATCATTAATTGCTTTTTTTGCCCATAGAATTTATACATAAATTCTAATTAAATATATTTAATGTTTTAAGAACTATTCCGAAGAACTTACAACATAGGTAATTTTTTTATGTTCATAAGATTTATGAATATTGTTTTAACAAACAAAATCACTTTAATAACATTCATCTATATTTTTTCCTACGAGTTGATTAACGTCCGACTGTTAAGACATACACCTACAACTGGATTAATACATAAATGATTAATAATCATTCGTGGGTCGTTCGACCGCACGGCGTACACCACACACAAATCACAATACATATATTACATATTACATAATTTAAATGCGAGCGATAATCGATTCGTATCAAAACCATAAGACCGATCGTCAAAAATTCACAATTTGAAAAAAAGCTCTATATTAGTATATTACACCTGTGCACTTCGCTGTATCGACGGAATAAAATAATGACTCTTAGTATCGTCAATATAATACAGTTTCCCTGATAAACCGCCAAAGCGCTAGTAGTGAGATCGACTTTTACCATTGAAATATTAATAATGTTATTCTTACTACTACCACAGAATAATTTATTTAGCTTTATTTTATAGAAGTTGTAAATCAAAAAAATTTTCTTTTGAAAAATGTAATTGAAGGAGATAATAAATTTATGATTTTCATAACAATTCAAAATTTAATCGAGTTGAGAGATTATATATTTGGCTCGCTGATGGAACATTTAGATTTTATCTTGGATTTTTAAACAGATATTTGCAATAATACATGGGTTAATTTGACAAATTATCAATAGTAAAATGTGTGTACCACCAGTATACATTTTTATGACTAGTCCCATTGAAAATGACTATAGAACAGTGCCAATTGTATTTAATGATTTTGCGATTGAAAATAATCTTGATTTCTATAGCAATGAGGAACTTTAAATCTAATATTAAATGGATTAAATATGTATTTTTAGGTTATCGAAAGTTGGAAAATTGTAAAATTATTATTTAGTGACAACAAAAGAAAATAATCATTCATAAAATACTTTGAAAATATCTACATTTATGGTAAACCAGCTATGAGATTACGTGGACATAATAAACCTTAACGACACCTTCCTTATTTTCAAATGACGTGTGCTCAGTAGCTTAAAGAGTTGATACAAATATGCCAAGAGGCAAAAACAACAAATATTGCTGAATCATGGCGTAAATACTAAAATACATATTTTTAAATATTTTACCAACAAGTACGTATTTTATATTTGTATTCGTGGGTACCTTTAAATTTTAGAGAAATATTGAAAATTATCATTATTATATGTTGGACATTTTGTTCTATTTTAAAATTATTAGACTGCGTTGTAATAAATAAGATAGATTACCATGTTTAATGATGTCATATCGGTTAGAGTTTAGATAGTTTAGTTTCTAGTAGATATCTATACAGAATTATTATGTACAATTGGTCTCGTTAGTTAGTGAATTTTTTTTGATTATAATTTATAATCATGTCAAAATTACTGTCAACAAAAAACGTTATAAGTTACTTTTTTCTTATTATTTTAACATTCATCTGTTCTTTATTAAAGCATGTAAAATAAATAATATTTATCGACTTTTATACTTACCAACATGATAGAAGAAGTGTCTAAATTGTTGTTTTTCAGTACATCTCTTAATGATACAAGAACTGAATCGACAGCCTGTTGAAGAAAAATATATCTTATATTTTGTTATATATATATATGTTACAGTTAAAACCCGAAATCCGTTGAAACTAGTTTTAACTAGTCAATACTAGTTTTCACAAATCCCTTTAGTCACTTCTAGTTTTAACTAATTAAAACTAGAATTAATCGTAGGTTTAAATAAGTTAGTAAAAACTAGTTTTAACTAAAACGCATATATTCGAACTCATACTACATAAAACGCACTCGACCACAGACTTTTTATTTTTAAATATTGCACGGTAATTCGACAGAGAATCAAAATTCCAAAAAATCATATTTCCCTCCGTGCAGCCGCAGCAAAAGCATCAACGGGCTCAGGGCAAGGCTTTGTAAAATGCACTTGCAAAACATCCTGCGGAACAAATCGTTGTTTATGTAAAAAAAATAAAATTCAATGTAATTCTAAATGCCATGATAGTTTGTCCTGCCGAAATAAATAATATAATAAAAGTATATATTTAATAATTACTTAATATGTACTAAATGTTTCTACTATTCCCTAATTAAAACTAGTTTTACCTATCAATATAAATAATACGGATTTTTACTAGATAATTCTAGTTTTCACTAATATAATATTTTAGACACAACTAATTCTAACTAAATAAAATAAATTAAAACTAGTTTTGACGGTGATAGTCTTAGTAAATTCTAGTTTTAACTAGTTAAAACTAGAAGTGACTAAAGGGATTTGTGAAAACTAGTATTGACTAGTTAAAACTAGTTTCGACGGATTTCGGGTTTTAACTGTAACATATATATTTATATATATATATAACATATATGTGTCGTGAACATAATAGATCGTAAAACTCAAAAAAAAAACACTGCTGATATCATTTGTCGTCAGCTGATCGTAA